TATAAAAAAACAAGCTTTTAATTCATATAAATTGTGTAATGTGTAAATACATGAGTTTAATTTCATTTAAAGTTTATTTTTATATTAGGTATTTATTTGTATTTAATATGTTATCCATATCATGGGGTTGCATAAAAAAACATAGTTCGTCTTAGTTGGGAGTCCGCCATGTTGGATTTAGAATGATATCACTTATCTAACCATGCATTGTCATCAAACTATAAGTGTATGCAAAATGTCAGTATAATCGGTTAACGATAACTGCTTTAAAATTCAGTTGCAAGATTTGACCCGAGCAAACATACAAAAGATTACTAGTAAAATAAAAGCCCGTAACTTGTAAGTAACCATATAATATATTATATACATATATTTTTAAAACAGTCAAGTAGGAGAAGTTTATCGAAATTATTAAACAAAAATTATATACAATGAAATGATACTATATTCAATTAGACTTATACTAAGACTTTTGAATCATTAATTCAATTGAAAGAGCGTCAAAATATATATAGCGAGGGACTCTACAAGATTCAATATTATACAATAAGTCTTACTGAATTAAGCCATAATATTTTATATCAAAATTGAATAAATTCTTTAAATTATATTAAAAATAGCAGAACCTGCGGCTTCGCTTGCACTAAAAATCCCCCAAGTGGCACTCGTAGAAGCCACGATATAAAAGAATTGAATTGAACTTTCATCCCCAATTTATGCCCTTTTGAGATGAATTTTGAAAAATGGTAAAACACATATTTATTTAATTTTATTAAAGAACATTAATACCAAGTTTCAAGTAATTCTGATCTCAAATATTTTTTGTGTTGTATTATAACGTGTTTTTCCGTTGGGATGAGATGATCTCCCGCTGAAACCCTCTCACTATCTCCACATAAAAATGATGCCAATCCGTCATTCCGTTTCGACGTGAAAAAGGGACAAACAAACAAACACACTTTCACATTTATAATATTAATATATAAAAGTATGGTTCTATGTTAATGCAAGGGCATTTTTGAAGACGGTTAAAAAGACATTAAAGTTTCTAGGGTACCGGAAGTCGCATCGGTGAGGGTGCAAGGCGCAAACGTCAGCTGTTGTGACCGCTAATTCGAAATTGAGTCGTCTAAATATGTTCTTCGTGTTGTAGTACTACCAAATTAGTACCAAAACATAGGATAAGTAAATAGTTTTAATATTAGGTATGTGTAAAATATTTTTCTTATAAAGCAGTAAAATTAAAGTACCACTTTTACAACAGTTTTTTGTTAATTTATTTCTGTATTTGTTTCGTAAATGTAATAAAAAATATAATAAAAAAAGGTTTCGATGAATTGAGAACCTCCTACTTTTTGGAAGTCGGTTAAAAATGTAAGTATCTATCTATCATATTTTTAAAGCATAATCAATATTCGATTACTTCGATTGTTTTTTTTATTTGCTACTTTGTAGTGAAAAACATATAATCAAAAAACTATCCGAGATAAAAAAATATCTTAACTATATTTTTATACGACTCGTATTATTTTTTTGTTATCTTTTTCGCTCGCTAATTGAATTGAAAGGAAAATTGTTTGACATTTCATTGCGATGATTTTATCTTGCTTGTAGGAGTTGTTTCAACACGGCCTTAACAGACAATTTATTATATGATCAATATTATTATTTGAATATTACCTGAATAAGTATACAAACAAATAAAATTTAAGTTTACTTATAATGTCAAAATAATAGCTTTTTACTAAATGCATATGAAAGTATACATGTACTTACAAGAAAAAAAAACAATTTTTAAATTTCTTATCTGTCTGTAAGTTTGTTCCAGCTAATCTCCGGAAAGACAGGACCGATTTTGACGGGAATTTCACTGGCAGATAGCTGATGTTATAAGGAATAACTTGGGTTATTTAGAAAAATAATTAGAGTTCCGCGCAAAAAATAAAGCAACCAAAAACATTAAAAACAATTAACGAAATCCCACTTTAAAAGTCATAGTACTCATACTATTCAGTGTGGCAAGATGACATGTGGCGGCGCGTGCGCACGGTTTTTGCTTTAGAATACAATATGTCACGCTAATTACGGACTGTTATAACTACGTACCATGACGTTATCAAACGGTATTGGTCTGGTTATAACGACTTATAATTGGTTGAATAAAAGTTATTTAATGTTTTTTTTTCGATATTTTTTTCCTCTACTTACCTTACTAGCGACTTACCTTCGTTTCAAAATAACCAAAAATAGCTGTTGTAACTGTTCCTTAGAAGATAGAGATTAGAGATAGACACATGCTATGGCGGACTATTCTATTACCCTTTTTTAACCGACCCAAAAAAACGGAGGAGGTTCTCAATTCGTCAATCTCAATTAAATTTTATCGAAATCGGTCGACCGGTTTTTCAAAAAAATCAACTTATAATAACAAAAATAAATATATTTTTTAAATAAATTGTTTAATCGAATATGTTATTAAAAAAACTTTCTTCTTACAAATTACTTGCTTATTATGTCTACACTAAAAATGGAAAAATCAAAACTTAAAATAAAAACGACTTCCAGGCACTAAAATGTAAAAAATAACTAAACGGATGTTTTCATTTAGAATAGATACCTAATCAGATATTTTCGAAATCGGTGCCAGCCGACAATATTTTAAAATATGAATATCTAATAGGTAAATATGTATTTTACGTATCGAAATATATTAGATTTGCTTTACATCGACTGACACCGATTTCAAAAATATCTGATTAGGTATCTATTCTAAATGAAAATCTCCGTTTAGTTATTTTTTCTAATTTTAGTGCTTGGAAGTCGGTTTTTATTATATTTTTTAAGTTTTTAAGATCTACAATTTTGTAGCACATTGTTTTGAAGTACCTATCTCTTAAGGTTTAGCCAACGTTAGCCACATAAGCGCACGAAGTTTTTTTTTGAAAAAAATACCATTCAGCCTTCTTATACAAAATATTTACTTGACCGATTCAGTTATTGTCCTTTTCCGTGGGAATGAGAGATTTTCTTCTAATAAAAGGTATCCTAAATGTTGACCCGAGTAATAAGTTATCACCACACAAAATTTAGTTAAAATCCCTTCAGTACTTTTTGTGTGAAATGCAGACAAACAGATATATAGACAAACAGACATACAGACGAATATTTCAACAAATATTGTAATGTGGAGTTTATAATCTGTACAGTGTACAAAAAATTTAAAATTGTTTTTTGTAAAAAAAATGCGTAAATTATGTGTAAAACAATTTAAAACAACAAAAGAATTTTTCCCATGTTAATGAAATGGAAAACTAAATTAAAATAGCGACCCCTTAGAGTTGAGCTATAGGACTCATGTTTGGAGAGGAATGATGTTTGGAGAGGAATGAATTAATATCTAATGAAAACATTTGAGAGGGTAAGAGAAATTTTTTTTTGTAGCACCCTACTGTACACAATATCTACGCAAAATATCCTGTTTTAAAAAATATATACAGATTTCGATTTGTTACAATTTTATTATATGTATCGATTGTATAATGTAATGTTACAGCATTTAATATAAAATGCGCTTTTATTATTATTTATGATTATATTATTATTATTTTAAAACAGCAAAATGTATTTTTAATAAGAGAGCAATACACTCTTAAAGAAAATTAATGAAGGACAATTGGAATGAGAAATCAAAGAAGTCCAGAATAGTCTTTATGTTTTTTAAGATAGATAGAATCTAACAATACCTTATAAAGATTTTAAGCATTTAAATAAAAGTTAAGATTGCTTTGTACAATTTGTAAGGCGCTGTAAAATTAAGAATATTTATCTTATATTCATTGTTATCTTTTTCAATGTTTTTACTATTTTAAGTGAAAATTTAAATTACTATAATACACTATATTAATTACAAAAAGTTATAGTGTAAAATCGTTGTAACAAGACGAAAATATTAACTACTGCATTAAAGTGCCTAGCAAAAAACCATCGTTAAAGTATAATAGCAGATATTTGCTATTATAACCTATTAGGCAACTAAAAATACTGCGAAATTGCATTATTTTGTACTAAAATTAAGTTAAGGCGTACCACGTACTTAGTGCACGAAAACGTGACTTTGTCTACTTGTCAAATATTATGCGATTAAGTATGGCTTCTTATTAATTTTTTTCGGTTTCGATATGTAAGCATATTAGGGATGTTTCATCACATATTTTTTAGTTTAATGGTATTTTATTATAATTTACATTGGTTTAAGGTTTTAGTTAGATATATCGCGGGAAACTTTGAATATTCCTCATTTTAATGGGAAAGTTTGAATGTTTGTGTATGTTATTCATGCTGCAAATGGACTTGGAGGGTAAATGAGAAAAAGGTATATATTTTAAAGATGTTTATTTTTTGCTTTTATCTCGTTTCTGGCAACTTTTTGAAATATCTCATTGGAACAATCTACTTGTAAAAGTAAAATTTTAACAGTATAAATAGTAAAGTACCCCATAATCTTATTAAATTCTATATTCCTGAAGTATCGCTTTGCAAATAATCAAGTCAATTTGATGCTTAGTTTCTATGTAAGAGAACAACAAACACTTTAGCATAATATTGTAAGGGTTTCTGATATTATAAAATTATTAATTTACTTTATTTCTAAATGGCACTGAAATAATTATGTTCCGTGACAACCTTGTTTCTACTTAGAATTAACTTAGACAAGTTCAAGTATCTTTAAAGCAAATCGAGTTTGTCGCGGTTTCGATTGAAAACTCGACACGAATCTGTATCTACGTGAAATTGTGATTATCACCTGATTCAATTAACATTTTTTTATCTATTGTCAATAGCAGAAATTGACAATATTATGTTTGGCGTGTCATATTTTATTAGGACACTGTTAATCGTTGAAATAACTCTAAAACGCTACAATTCGGATTTTTGACTTCTTCAGCCAATCCAATCCAATGCCTGTCCCATTTCCAAAAAATTAATGTTCCGAAATAAGAATGTGGCAAGTACATATTTTAAATAAGGTAAAATATTTATTTTTTAATATTTTTTATATAAGCAAAAAATTGTTTTTGTTTACATGAAAGATTAGATATTCCGCAGTATTCGTTATTATATATAAATAGTGACTCACCCGCGCTTCGCTCGGAGTTTCCCTAGGTTGATTCCCCATACAAATTTTCATCCTCATTTTCACCCCCTTAAGAGATGATTTCCGGGATAAAAAGTATCCTATGTCCTTCCAGGGGTCTCAATCTATCTTCTTACCAAATTTCATTTAAATCGGTTTAGTAGATCGAGAGATTACCCCATACAATGTCACAAACTCACAAACTTTACCTCTTTATAATATTAGTATAGATATCTTCATATATTCTTCTGTACGTGTGTTTGTTAACCTACTCCTCCTAAAGGGCTAGACCAATTTGGATGAAATTTTGTGTGTATATTTTAATGGGCTCCTGGATGGTTTGAAAATACAATTCGACCCGGTAAGTGTCGCTGCTGTTGACGATATTAATGATATTTTTTGTGTATGTTCGAGTGGGTCCCAGCAAGATTTGAATTCACAAATGGACGCGGTAGGTGGCGCTGCTGTCGGTGTGTCATCAAATTATTATTAGTTATAACATAAAGCCAAAGAATTTGTTTTCTTTTAGTAGTTTGAACGCGGACGATGCCGCGGGTACTGTTAGTATACATATATTCCTTGATGTTATCGGCTTATGTGTGTGCGTTGCCGTGTTCGTCCGTTACTCGTATATATAGAAGTATTTCTGCATATAAAACAATTACAGTACTTGCATAATATAAAACAGTCTAGCATAGTCACTGTAATGATTTCAATTGTTGTCAATAAGTAACTATACTTATAACGTTCAATGAGAAATGCCTTTTATGTTTTTGTCTGACCTAAAAACAAATTTTCATTATGCAATTATTAATCAACATTTATAATTATTTTGCACAACGTAAGCTTCATTATATACGGTGGAACTTTTTGTATAGACTGATGATATTATTTGTCTAGTATAATAAGCTAAGGATCGGTTATGAGAAGTTAGCGAATACGAAAGACGTAGAAGGTATTCATCGACGCGTGACGGCATTGGGCAACTTCTGGTGCGACAAAAGTGAGCGCACGCCGTCCCGCGCGACACTAGCCCGTGCCATGCCGCGCGCGTTGCTGCTGCTCCTGCCGCTGCTCGCGGCCCACATTGTAGCACCCGCTGAAGTCTTTGTTATCGCCGACACCGCCAACCAAACCTTAGCTATCGCCGAAAATGCTAAAGAAACTTTTGCCGAAGCTAACAATATCACTCTCAATAATGACACTTTAACTGATTCTGATGATAATCATGAACCTGTCGTGAGAAAGAAACGTACTTTCGGTGATGTTGTGTTTAGAGGTTTAGCTGACGTTCTCGGTTACAGTGTAGCTCGAAAACCGCCTCAAATACAGTTTCCACCACCACTTTCTCCAGTGCCGGGTATAGATGGACCGCTACAAGTTTCACTAGTACCTGTGGTTTCTGCAGGCCCTGCCCCAGCACCGGCCCCTGCGGCTCCTGCACCATGTGGGGCACCTCGAGCGGCACCTCAACCTTGTAGGGCTCAAGCACCACCGCCACCCGCCCCTCCGAAACCAGCCCCACCTCCGTGCCCCAGACCAAGAGCCAATCCACGACCCAAGCCTCGCCCTACACCGCGACCACGACCATCACCTCCACCTCCACCTCCACCTCCACCGCCACCTCCCTGTGCTCGTCCTCGCGCTAATCCTACAACTCCGTCACCATGTGCCCCACCACCACCACCACCTCCACCGCCACCTAAAGCAGATTCTAATCTTGAAACTATTACTTCAAACTTCCGCTTGGACTTTAACTTTAACAGAGCCCCCGCAGCATCTGCGCCTGCCGCTGAGGCCATAGCTGAAGAAGAGCAGCCAGTCGAGCAAGAACAAGAGCAAATCATTCCTGTCGCTATCCAGCCACGTGCAGCGAAATTGCCTCAAGAACCTCCTAGGACACCTAGAGTTTATCTAGATGCGTTTGTGGTTAGAAACGGAGTGCCGCAAAAAGTTCATGCTGTTGATGCACGAAATCTTAATCAGCCCCAAGCTGATCAAGATTATTTGGCATACGATGAAGAAGAGCAACCTCAACAAGATGACGATTATGAATATGCAGACGAATCACAAGGCCGTGCAAAAGCCGTTCGAGAATTCGGTAACGCTGTTAATCAATTCTGGGAACAGAAACAAAAGAAACCCAAAAAGAAAATACCGGTAAACGACTATAGAAATGTGCATTTTGGTGACCGTGAGCTAGCTAACCAACTGCGTCGGCAAAGTGACGCACAATTACAAACTTTGCAAAATGAACAACCGAACGTAAATCGTATTCCTTTACCTTTATCTGAAACAGATGAAGAAGATGAAATTACAACAACAACTCAAGATCCACGAAGAAGATTGAAGCCTCGTGTTTTACCACCTACAGAAAAAAACCCGAATGAGATCGACACAATTACAGTTCGAGTTCCACCAATCTATAAAGAAAAGCGACCAAAGAAATTACACCGTGAGCAGCCAGAACGGCCAGACCGTGATGAGAGTAGTGAAGAGGTATCGGATCCAGAAGAACAGGAATATCTATCTGACTCAGAGACAGAAAATACCTATGAAGTTCCTCAAACAGAGAAACCTAAGCGCAAGCGCCGTAGGAAACAAAAAAGGAGAATTCGGTCGGCGCAAAGTGAAGCTTATACTGCAGGTGATTACGATTACTATGGTAATAAACTACCCATATCAGAAGAAGAGGAGTATTTCCGTGGGTTAACGGTTCCTCCTCCGACAAAGGACGCTGATGTCATTCGATTAGAGGAAAGTAATGAAGAAAATGATCATTTCTTGGATGATCACGAAAGACTTAGGGATGATTCGGAGAGAATAAAATACGATAGTAGAAATAAGGATAAAGAACGTTCAAACGAAGAACAGGCAGACGAATCGGAACGATCAGATGAAAATGAACGCTCCGAAGAAGATAAAGAACGCGCAGGTGAAAACGAGCGTGCTGACGAAACAGAGCGAACAGACAAATTGAGCCCCAACGCACGTGTACGGGAAACTGGCTTCCAGAACAATTACGTGCACGCCACTAATGTCCAAGTTGATGACCCACGCCCTAATGTCTCGACCGTCAAAAAGAAAACGAAGAAAATCGGCAAAGTCTAAGCTAGCGTTACGCCTCGCGAGCACCCGCCATAATCATAGTTATTTATTTTAAAAGTATCCAACGTAAACCCTTTCGAATCGTCGATACTGGGTCTAAGAGTTCCTGTATTCATATCAATATAGCGACCTGTGATGTTCTAGATAAGCTCATGTATCCTAATTTTTATTACCTTGTTATTTTTATACTTAACGATAAGCAAATTGTACATTAAGTTTCTTAATAAAGCGTTTCGTCAAATCTATTTCATTATTAGTATTGTAGTGGCATAGAATCGATTGCTGGGGCGTGAAATTTGATTTTCACAAGGCAACGTCAGTTTTGTGGGTGAAGGTCCGCGAGATGAAATAGAAAATGGTGTAATTACAGTTCGTTGCACCGCGACCCACATCCAACCAAAGCAAACAAAGTTTTCAAAAGCAAAAGGTGCGATTATGGCATTTCTTTTTTAATTATTGCACTATGAAAATTAAACATGTGTATAATCTAAAAATATTTGGGCATACATCGTAAAACGTCATCTTTGCATGACATCCTTACGTAAAATTTTATAATATAATGAAATATCTAATAACATTTCGAAAAATATATATTTTTTAAATTAACTTTTAGAAAGTAAAATTCCCTGTTTTAAATTCTAGCTCAATATATAATAAATACCCACCAAACCTAAAATGTTTTAACATTGCAAGGCTTCGTTTTTGTCTAACCTCAAACCATAATCGGATCACGAAATGTTACTTATTGATTTCTATTCAATCAAAATATTTAAAAGGCAGACACAAGGGCGAAACGTTGTGCTAAAAATTAGACGCAGTAAGAACAAATTCCTTGAACATTTCCCAACATTTCTAACCATACCTGAGCAAAAGTACCTATTAGTACAAACTTAGCTAATCTATGAATAGATTAATCTTATTTGCTTATACAATCTAAGCAAAAAAAAATTACTAAACAGTAAACATTTATACTAAGCCTCAAAGGAATAGTTACAGAATGTTGAAAACATTATCTAGTCCATTACAAATTTTGGTCTTTACAAAAATGAAACAATTATCTACAAATATCTACAAATTATACTTATTAATTAGTATTTTTTTGTTAAAGTGAATATCAAATCTCAAAATTTCTTATGTTCATATCTTATAGCGTTACATACAAATTGACAGATATTTAGATCGCCACCGAAACCTTCTTAACAAATATAGAAAACTAGAGACTGCTATTGTACAAAAAATCTAAAAATCTTTTTTGTCAGTATAATATACTATCCATTAAAAATTATATTATAAAAATCTGAAGATTATAAATAATTAATCAAAATAAATCTGCCATTGCCCTATCGCTTTCTACGTGACCCGTAATTATTGTAGGTCACGCGTACTTGCTGTACCAAATACTTTTATGTAAAAAAAACTTTATTACCAAATAATACGGTTGAAATTATTATAGCAAAAAGTAAAGGTAATGACCATCGATTCACTTCGGCGGGGCCTTGACCGCGGATAATGCCGATTTTTTTATACACGTGCCAATTTGTTATTTGCGAATAGATTATTAAAGTGGACTGTGTTTATAATAATAAATAAATAAATATGTTGGAACAGTAACGCACAGGACCATCTAGTTCCATGGTAAGCTAAGAGGCTTGTATTATGGGTACCAGATACTTACTTATGGGTACTTGATACTTGACTTTGACTCCTATTCTACACAGTTGACTTGTACTCTACACATATAACTTTATATACATACATATTATAAATATAAACACCCGTGGCTGGAGTACAAGCATTCATCACACAAATGAATGGCCCCAGCAAGACTCAAACCCGCCATCGCTGGCACAGCAAATAGGGTCGCTACAAATTGAGATTTATATAGAGACTAAGTATATTGTTTAGTTTTTCAAGGCTATTGATTGGTTTTTTAAATTGTTATGATTGTGTTTGATTTATAATGCGACCGTGCCATATCGGGACAACATTAAAAAACTTGATCTGGAACTTGCCACGGAATTTTCCGAGTTTTTGAACAGTGCTATACCTAATAATGAAGCTTAAATAAATTATATATATATATATATATATATATTAAAAACGGTTTCAAAATACGAGTACCTGCCCGCGGCCACATCAGTATGAAGAGCAATAACATTTATTCATAAGTTCAGTAATACAGGTTTGTTAAATAATAATTAAGTATTAAGTAATTATTTATTATTTAATTATTTATCAGCTATCACACGAGCATGCACTGACCAGAGAAAAAGTATGATACTTCTTAGTTTGGATATATTTCATATGTATGCTGAGTTTTTCCAGTTCAATGTTCATGATTTGAAAATAATAATATTAAAAGGAGATTTTTATAAGAAAGAACACACACGATATATATAAATATATATAAAACAAATCTCCTTGCCACGTCTGTACGTCTGTCTCAATCAATCAATTTTTTGGGCTTAGCTTGCATTTGTCAGAGGACGCAATTTTAGTTTTTAGATATCAAGGAGGGGTAAGTGTAAAGTTAAATCCATGTTTGTGGTGTTGCAGCCCCTGTCCCACGGCCGCCATCTTGGAATAAATGGTTTTTATAGTTTATCTGACAAAGTATAGGTCCTAGTTTAGTGTAAAATTGAGCTTTCAATATTAATATCAATGTTTTATTATATATAATGCTGGATTTAAAATAAAGTGCATTAAAAAAACTACTATCTCCTACAATATTTACTACTCTATAGTATAGTTAGCGTGAATCGTGATAGTATAGTTATAGTAAAATATTGTATGGAAATTTGAACAACGCTGCGTGAGCGTATTTGGAAATTAAATTTGGCAACACAAACATCTAGCGTAAAACAAAGGTAACATTTAACAAAACCTTATCGTGATTTAAATCAACACCAACCCCATCTAGTGAGAAAACAGGAAATTACAAGAATAGGTAACTTTGTAAGGGTTGACTTTAATGGGTCCCCTATATTGTATCAAGTTGTGTTATATGTCATTTTGAAGATCATAACTTTTTTATTGTATGACACGGACAATGAGAGACGTGCGGGGAAAGAACTTTGAATGATTTAATTATATAGAATCCGTTAGAGTCCAAAACTGTTGTCCTACACCTACAAGAACGTGATATTGTAATGAAATTGACCATACACACGTGTACATTACCTCTAGGCATAGTATATAGGTAAGTTTAACTTAAGTTCGTTGAATGACAAATACGAGATCTAGTAACAAACATCCAAATCTACAAACATTTTCATAAATAGCACTTATAACATTAGCACGAATAAGATAACATTAAAAAAAACTAATAAAATATTGCCGTAAATACATTTAATGTTAATATATAAACTCATTTTAAAAAAGTCAGAAAAATAATTCAAATAAATGTCAATAGATGGCGTAATATGTATGGTTCCGTCATCAATTTTTAAGTTAAATAAATAAAAGAAAAATAGAAAAATAGATCCTAAATATATATACTAATAGTTAAAAAAAGAATTCCTTACTATAGGAAAATAAATTGATTGGTTCTTAAATAGAGTTTTCACTTTTTCTGCTAAATAATAACAACCACTAAACAATAGCTTGTTCTTTTTAGTGTAGTATTGTTATCTGTGGTAATCCTCTATGCTTCACTAAGTTTTTAAGCGATAGCATGATAATGTACAACCAAGTGAAGCGGGTTCAAATCCCGGGTCTCGCATTTTTGATATTCTCATGTGCGAATCATTTCCAACATGATTACCACTCGTCTTACGATACAGAAAAAACATCGTAAGGAAACCTGCATGTCTGAGAAAACCTAACAAGTTTTGAACATTATGTGAACTCCGCCAACCCGCACTTGGCCAGCGTGGTGGACTATATCCTGATTCCCCTCGTATTGAAGGAAGACTTGTGCCCAGAAGTGGGACGTTAAATAGGACTAAATACATGTTAATGCTATCATATAGGATTAATAAAAAATAATAAAAAATAAGTAGTTGTTTATTTGGTAAATGACTAGAATGATAGTAGAATAAACATAATACCACAGACGTAGAGAATGGACTGAGCAATACTATCATGAAATTTACCACTCTCTAGAAAGAGAGAAAGCAACCATGCGGCCAATACCTGCCTTTTATTGCAAGTTGTATTTATACATGGAATGTAAAAAAAATATAAAATTAAAAAATGATAATATATTTTTTAAATTATAATATTATAATCAAGTGTAAAATTGTTATAAATATCTATCTTCATTAATCGTATTTCAATTAATACAGAAGACTTAAGGCCGCACATTCGTTTTGACTCTGTCGCGCCTTTCCGCCATTTTTAGCTGACGGCTGACAAAGAAACACTCAGTCCACTCTCTATGTCTGTATAATACTAACAATTTCATTACATGTGTCCGTTTAGAGCGTCGTAGGCTGGTCAGCTGAATCGAGTTGTGTTGTAGTCTGAAATTATAAGATATTATTAAAACATCATAAACAGCATATTGCAGCACCTTCACTTGATCAGGGCTCGTCCCTTTGTCTTTTTGTAGTGGACTAAATAATAATAAGGAATTTGATGTACCAGGTAATAAGTAAACATTGACTAGAATATATATAACTTAACTAACAACAAGAAAACATATGAACTATCTTTTCGGATGTTTTCCCGTATTTATTTAGATTTTTCGTTCCCGACGTTTTGAATGCTATACAGTACTTGTGATCTCGTCAAGTCAGTTTTTATATAGATAACACAAATCGCAACGGCGTTTAAGTTTTTTAGCTTTTAATTGTAAGTTTAATTATAGTGTATATACAATGTACATTTCCGACTCAGAAACTTCTATCTCTTTATAAAAGATCAAAGCAACATTCAACGTTCATAGTTTACTCCGCGTTGAAAAATGTACTGACGCCTACTAAAAATAAATGGCAATACAAATTTTTGTGTTGTTCCTATAAGAAATCTTCTAGGCGTTTAGAAAATGGTTTTTCTATAAATGGAAACATAGCCTTAATAGCTAAATAATATAACGTATTAACAATATTTTGATTTATTTTTGAAATAATTTAATACGCTTAATAAATATTTAAAATCACAATATATTCACAATTTAATTATTAGTAGTCGATTGGCATTTCCCAAATACACAACACACAAACTCGTACAAATGTGCTTGCATAATTCTTACGCCTGACATGATATTAAACATTACTGTGTTGCCAAGTCCTATGAAAGTATCATAAATGTCAAGTTAAATAACTTACCTCACTGTGCATCTTCCTGATATGTTTATTCAGCGACTGTCTATGATTGTATGTAGCGGTGCACACGTGACAGGCATGAGCGCGCGCGCGCGGCGCGTGCGTGGCGGCGTGCAGCGCGAGCGCGCGCGCCGAGGGGAAGTCCCGCGCGCAGGCGGCGCAGGCGTGCGCGTTGGGCGCGTGCGTGCGCATGTGTGTGGACAGCTTGTTTGTCGCAAACTGTTTCCCGCATATGGGGCATATGTAGCTTTTGACGCCTGCGATATTTGAAAATTAATTATTTACTAGCGACTCACCCTCGCTTCGCTCGCTTTCCTAGGTAGGTTTTTTTTGAGCGGAACCCTAATTCTTTTTCTAAAATAAAAGTAGCCTAAGTTACTCCTTAAAACATCAGCTATCTGCCAATGAAAGTCCCGTTAAAATTAGGCCAGCCCTTTCAGAGATTAGCCGGAACAAACAGACAGACAGACAGACGGACGGACAGACAAAAATTTCAAAAACTGTGCTTTGCCTTTTCTTATAAGTACCGTACACAATTTCATATGCATTTAGTAAACAGCTGTTATTTTGACATTACAAACGGACACTTTAATTTTATTTATCTGTATAGAGTATAGATCATATTGTCTTTTAATTTTGTTTGACTAAATAAATTATATTTTGAGCTCAAATTCGAGTTTATTATTTGTCTGCCCCAGAGATGGGGGTAGAGAAACAACAAACTTGCACACTAAAAACCGGCCAAGTGCAAGTCGGACTCGCGCACGAAGGGTTCCGTACCATTATACTATACCTATAAAAACGGCAACAAATCACGTTTGTTGTATGGCAGTCTCCCTTAAACAGTTGCTTATATTTAATTTAATTATTTATTTTAAAGTGAATATATAACTAAATATGCTGTGAATATTTCAAGCGTCTACCTTTTGCCGTTAACATTATCGAGGAAAAACGAGCAAATAAATCACGTTTGTTGAATGGGAACACCCTCAAATATTTATTTTATTCTGTTTTTTTTTTTGTATTTTTTTTATAGCGGCAACAGAAATACATCGTCTGTGAAAATTTCAACTGTCTATCATGGTTCATGAGATACAGCCTGGTGACGGACGGACAGACAGACGGACAGACAGGGGAGTCTTAGTAATAGGATCCCGTTTTACCTTTTGGGTACGGAACCCTAATAAAAATGATTAATTATTATTAATTACTAGCTACTTACCCTCGCATCGCTCGAGTGCATCCCTAGGTATTTTGCGCGATTCGCAATTTCATGGGTTTTAGTTTTTTTTCCGCGGAACCCTAATCCTTTTTCTTAAATAAGAGCAGTTTTAGTTATTCCTTATAACATCAGCTATCTGCCAGTGAAAGTCCCGTCAAAATCGATCCCTTGCTTTATGCATATTAAATAAAAAGCTGTTATTTTGACATTACAAACAGACACTTCAATTTTATTTATCTGTATAGATTAAAATTTTAAATTTTATTTGATTTTTGTATTCTTCTTAGAAATCATATCTCAAATAAAACAGCAATTTTTTTTGGTAAATATATAGTTTTATATTACAAACCTGAATGTATTTTCGTGTGGTCGCGTAAAGTATTTTTGCATCGAAATTTTTTGTGACAATCTGCGCACTCGAAAGGCATTTCGCCTGAAATTTGGAAAATCAATTATTTAAACTTACATTTAAAAATATCAACTACTTAAAATTATATGCATTCAAGCCCTTTTTAAACGTCCCACTGCTGGGCACGGGTCTCCCTTCAGTACAAGGGGATCAGGCCGTAGTACTACACGCTGGCCAAGTGCCGGTTGGCGGAGTTCACATGTCTTTAGAAAACTTGCTAAGTTCTCTCAGACATGCAGGTTTCCTCACGACGTTTTCCTTCTACGTTAAGACAAGTGGTAATCATGTTGGTAATGATTCGCACATGAAAATATCAGAGGTGCGAGACCCGGGATTTAAACTCGCTTTACTCGGTTTCCCAAGCGAGCGCGTTACCACTGGGCTACCACTGCCTTAAAATTATATACAACCTCTTATTTAATTAAAAATATGAAAAAAGACAGTACTCACCATTATGTTTCCTAATATGTACTTTCAAGCTGTATGGAGATAGAAATGTCATGGCGCAACCGGGTGTGGGGCACGGGCGGCGCACTCTCGGGGCACAGTGTTGTCTGGCCAGCGCGCGAGTTAACACACCTGCCCCACACTTAATGCAATGGTGTTCCCGCTCCCCATTATGTCTGTTACTAGAAAAATGTTATATTATTTTAAATAAAACACCAATTCATAATAACTATAATTTAATTGTAACTAGTCAAAGAGAATGCAAGTCAACTAGTCTACCTCACTTTATTTACAGTGATATTCAAACTCTCCATTATATGTGTTGAAACTGCCTTGGTAGTGTAGTCAGTGGCTATCAAGTATGTTGTATTGTTGTATGTTTGTAACTGTGTTTATTACTCCTAAAGATTGAGTTGGCTTAAGATATTAAAGTGAAATTCAGCATGGAGTTACATACATCCCGGATGAACACAAACTATGAACTATTTTTTGGAGCAGGGCTGCATTTTATCTGCATGGCCCATAGGCATCATAAAAATATATTTAATATAAATTAATTTATCTCTTTAATGTATATTTATACATGGGCAATACAGTACCACAATAATATTATAAATGTGAAAGATTGTTTGTTTGTTTGTCCTTCTTTCACGTCGAAACGGAGTGACGGATTGGCGTGATTTTCAACCGACTTCAAAAAGGAGGAGGTTCTCAATTCGACTGTGCTTTTTTTTATGTTTGTTACCTCAGAACTCCGTCATTTATTAACCGATTTGGACAATTTTTTTTTTGTTTGAAAGGGTATACTTCCAGATTGGTCCCATTTAAATTTCAAAAAAAAATACCACCCCTAAGGGTGGAAAAACAACTAATGATGAATTTAACCTACTTCTAATTGTCATATTGACTTGAAACTTTGCAAGTATTTCTATTTCCGTTGATAGTACAGTGGTTCGGTGTTGTTGACCTGACCTGATGGCAAGGCCAGAAGGTGGATAGGTGGAACTCTTGAACGGCTAATAGTAGATACTTTGAGTTTGGGCTTATTTTGTTTTATTTGACAAGCCTAACACGTTAGAATCCTTACTATGCTACTACTGTCTACACTAAAAAGGGAAAAATAAAAACTTTTTAACAAAAAAATAAAAACCGACTTCAAACAAAAGCACTAAAAAGTAAAAAATAACTGATTGGTAGTTTTCATTTACTATACATACCTAATCAAATATTTTCGAAGTCGGTGTGCTTTGGCTAAGTAATTAAAGCTTACCTATTAAATACATACCTAATCAAATATTTTCGAAATCGGTGCCAGCCCATACAAAGCAAAGCACGCCGACTTCTAAAATATTTGATTAGGTATGTATAGTAAATGAAAACTACCAATCAGTTATTTTTTACTTTTTAGTGCTTTTGTTTGAAGTCAGTTTTTATTTTTTTGTTAAAAAGTTTTTATTTGTTTGAAAATAGTTGGAGAGCTGGAGAATGACAAAGCGTACTTTTTACCGTGGCAGATTATCTAATTCCCACGGGAAAACACATTATAACACAATCCAAAAAAATATTTATGATCAGAATTACTTGAAACTTGGTATTAATGCTCTTCAATAAAATTAAATAATTATGTGTTTTACATTTTTCGAAATTAACCCTATAAGGGGGTAAAATAGCAGGTGAAAGTTTGTATGAAACTACCTTTTTAGAGTTTTTTTTTTGTAGTTTTAGCGCAAGAGAAGCCGCGGGTTCAGCCGGGTCCACTTTTGTGCCTACCAACTTAGTCTGGGTTGATATTTACTAGTCCAAGTGGATCAAAACTTTACAAATGCAAATATATTTAATCATAATATACCTACAGATGTAATTTTAAATTCCCATGCCTTGTGAAAGCTTTATGACAACACTGACAAGTATACATCTTTTTCTTAGTACTATTGGTCTGTATTGACATATTTGGAACATGTTCATTTTCACTCGGTATTGAATCCTCATTTATGATTAATTTGTTACTATCTGTATCACTTTTTGATGCATCTTTGTCACTTTTTGTTGGACCTGTAAAAATATTTCTCACTGATAATTTTTAACTCTATATCAATAGTTACATTATAAAGTACATAACTTTGATTGTTCATTATTTATTTTTTCACATAATAAAATGCAAAAAGGAAGCATGCAGTTATATCTCAGAAAATATTATTGCTTGCCTGATAATATGTAATATTAAATTACCTACAGTATTATATTTACAGACTAGCGATTCACCCTCACTCCGCTTGAATTTGTCTCTTTGTTTTAAGGTTAGTATAGATATCTCAGAGATGAGATAACTCTTTTTACTGTGGGAGAAAAAAGTATCCTATATGTTGACCCGGATAACCAGCTATCATCATACTAAATTTCATCAAAATCTGCTCAGTGGTTTTCTCGTGATGCGTTCCCAGATAAACAGACAGACAAAAATTCGAAAAATTATAGATTCGGTCTCTGTAATGATAATAATGACTATTTCAATGAGATTTTCCCAAAGATTATGTTATATAATGATAATATTTACACAATACCTAATTGTCATTTTAGAATTTATAACTATTAGAGCTTTAAGAAAGTAATGTTATGTTACAATACCTATGCTGTTTTGCTTACAAGTTGCAAACAGTTCATTTGCTCTAAAACATTTATTCAAAAACTTCACTAGAATTTCTAGCTCTTCAGAACATGGCCTGCATATTAATTCAGAACCGCCATCATCAAAGGATATATTTAATTTAGTATGATGTACAAGATTCTCGTATGGTGCGATACCATTCTTTTTAATGAAAATGGGAACCATTTTAGTATCTTGTTGGAAACAGATTCGACAAGTATTTTTCTTATCTTTTACAGGATTTTCCATGCTTATTTTCTCTCTAAAACATTTATATTCGCAAGTCGGAACAAATTATGCCTGTCTGTTTAAACTAACTTCTTCAAAAGAGAAACATTTAATAACCCAAAGACACTAAATAAAATATTAATTATTTTTACATAAAGTTAAATATTATATAATTAAAATACTGTTTAATACACTATTTTTATTTTTTTGTTTGTTTAGAATACCTAGGTAGTAGGTGTTTTCTTTCCAGTTTCCATTCATATGTCAATGTCAAGGTGACAGTAAAGATGGATGGAAATATTAAGTAGGTAATATAAAAAAGTAAACTAAGATAAACGTCTAATTTATGATATACAAGATTTTTTTTATTATTCTTTGCTCGAAGGTGACTAGATTTTCGTAACGGCTGTATTGTAAAACTAACGAAAGCAGATAAATAGTAACAGTTCCAAATAGTTTATGCCTTATGGTCTGTGGATAATGCATTGCACAATGTACTTACACTTACTACTTCACATAATAACAATTTGTCAAAGTACAGAATATTTTCAGTTAGCATAAAAATATGTTTTAAATATTTCCATGGCTTAGACACATCACACAATTCTAAAAATATAATACTTATTTGTGTGCTTGTGGGCACTAGATAACTTAAAAGCCTATGTTCGGCCCCTATGAATATAGAGAATCCAATGTAAATACATACACGTAGGTATATAAATAACCCAGCAAACATAATTTTGTATTCATATTTATTATACTTAAATAAAATTAATTTGAAGATTAATATAAAATGAAAGAACTATAATACTGTCTATCATGGCTCACTTACAATTATTATTATCATCTTGTTTAAATCACGACTTTGAAAAAATATTGAGCATGTCAAGTTACCTTTCGTTTGCGATATTTATTTCTATTTCGTAATTGAATACATAAAGTGATGTTGTAAATAAGAAAACTCTTTACACGGCTAACATGTTTTAGTGTTACACAATAGCATTATACTAATGCGATATAAAACCATACTATCGTATGAACAGTGGTAGCAAGAGCAAAGGAAAGTGATGTTTGATTATTTGGTAACCGACTGCGTGAGCGCGCATACTAATGTCCTGGACAGACAGGGTCGGAACGTCTGGGTCAATTTTGTCCCATAAGAATTGAAGCAAACTAAAAGTTCCTGTCTACAATAATTTATTTACAGATAATGAGAAGTATAGTATTATATGATCTGTGGTGGGGGTATTTATTGTTTTATTTTTAGCGAATGATTATACTTATAAATAAAGCTAAAATTATCATTTCAATTATAAATTACCTATTGGAAATTTAAAACTAATTTTGCCTGATAAAATCTATATTAAAAGTATAGAATTCTTTATTTGTTTTTAAGAATTATCATTTTATTATATACCTATGTATATTAATATACCTTTTTGTAACATGTATCTAAATACAACAAAACTAAAATAACAAAGAAGAGAAAATACTCAATTAATTATCGGTTCTTCTTTATTAGTTTTTCTTTAATTGAACTATATTTTTTTTAAATACAGCCCTGGTCAGACTGGTACAATTTTCACTAGATTACGTTTCTTGATCGATTGGTATGCGTTCATTCGCATATGTTACAAGAATGACGGCAGCACCCTACGTGATCGTATTAGCCAATGAAAATTATGGAAAGTCCACTTTCTCAGTACGAATCAGAGTATAATTTTGATTGTTTTGCTTTGAGCCATTCAATTGTGGTAGCGATTCGTTTAGGAACTATCGAAAGCCGCAAGGGGGCAGCCTGTTACGTCCGGATACATCAAGTGAAACTTAGACGTTGGCTACATACTAATTGATAATGTTTTAAGTTATAAGTACAAGTGAAAGAGGAAGAGACCACTGGTTTCTGAACAGGTGTCGCGCCGACCGGGCGACCGTACGATATGAAGCTTTCAGTTGTAAGTATTTTGGGATTCACAGTGGAGTTACAGTGAAGTGATGTGTTTGTGACAAGTGCCGGTATAATTAAAAATAAGTTTTACAAGCATGCTGCAAATGAAAAACAAATATGAATAGCGATATATCGTAATTTAAAACAAAAAGTGATATTTTTTGAAAATATTACATATATGTATTAGGCTTCCAATCATATATTTAAACTAATATAAATAATTTTCTCGCATAACTTTAAAGTTATACATTATATTTATAAATTATAATTATTTACAATAATAGAAAGAGGGAAAAATACTCACCGTTGTGAATGTGTGTTTCAGATCGCCGTGGTGTTATGTGCATGTATATATGCAGCGACAGCAGATGTCGCTCACATAAAGGCAACAAAGGCAAAACTTCTCGGACGACTGGCTGGAAAACATCACAAAAGAGGCATTTTATCTTCTGTTCCACCATTTAAATTAGGACATGATATCCCTTTAGTAACACATTCAGTTGTCAAACCACTGGTAGTAACATACCCGCCCACTGCAGCTGTTGCAGCCGTAAAAATTCCCGTGCCTAACCCTCACGTACCACGATTTCCGGCCCCAGTCGGACACAGAGTACATGGCTTACCACATCCACACTATGGGCTAAAATTCCCTCACACTAAGTTTGTAGCACAATCAGATCATCATTTCCATCACCATCATCACCATGTGGCTCCAAGGCCAATAGTACCTGTTGTGCCAGCTGCTCCTTTACCTCCTACTCCTGTAACTCATGTAGCTCCTGTTCGCCCCGTGCTTCCAATACCTCAACCAACTGTTGCTGTCACACATTCTGCCCCGGCTCCACCACCTCCAGTAATCTTGCCTGCATCAGTCCTTCCTGCTCATCCATTACCAGTGCCTGCTCCACCAGTACCAATTGTTCCAAATCATTTACATCTTAAACCACTTTTACCCGCCGGTACGATTCCATTAGCTCCAGCACCAACCCCATTATTCCCCGCACCTGTATTCCCATTGAGGCAACCTTATCCTTATGTAATTCGTCCTGGTGGTGCAGTTCAAACTTCAGTTTTCGCTACGTATCCCAGATATCCACTAATTAATAGTTATCAAGCTCCACTATTTCCTTTTCAAACACCTTCTACACAGGCTTTTCCTCAAATCTTACTTGAACGCCCGCATGTCCATGCCTACCAAGGTGTAGCTCAAGCGGTAGATCACCACGGAGTTATAGAACAACATTCACCCAATTTTGTTGTAGAGGAAACTCCACATTTACATCCTACTCAAGTAGCGCCACAACCTGCATTTCATGTACACCCAGCCCAAGAACAGCAACCGACTTTCCATGTCCATCCAACCCAAGAAACGCTCACGCCTCAACCTGCATTCCACTTACATCCCACACAAGAAACCTTACTTCAGCCCGGTCTTCATTTACATCCCACCCAAGAAACACATCCAGAATTTCATTTACATCCTGCCCAAGAGCTATTACCTCAACCAGGGTTCCATTTGCATCCCACACAAGATACGTTACAACATCCAGGTTTCCATTTGCATCCTACTCAAGAAAATATACCGCAACCTGGATACCATTTACAACATTCTCAAGGAGTACCTCAACCGACACAGCCATCTCTAGAACACGACGGTTGGAACCCAGTTGCATCGCAACCGCATGATTTAGCTTCTCATGAAGGTCATTTTCCCCAACAAAGTCATCATTTCTCACAAGAACAAGGGACTCAAGTGTTTGAGCATCACACAGATGATCAATATAATGACTATCAACATCAACTGCAACATCATATACAACAACAAATAGAACAAGCTCAGTACGAACAAAGCTTAAATAACCAACACCAACCAGCCCAAGAATATGGTGTACCACAACATGGCCAAGATTTTGGTCAAAACGATTATTCACAACAAGGACAAGATTTTGGGAATAATGGTCAAGATTTTGTACAACATGGTCAAGATTACTCACAACACGGTCAAGATTTCTCACAGCACGGTCAAGATTTTTCTCAACATGGCCACGACTTTTCCCAACAAGGTCAAAATTTTGGGCAACAGGGTCAGGATTTTGGACAGCATGACTATAATTTAGGTCACCCAGGACAAGAATACGGATTACCACAACAAGGTATTGAGGGTCGTAATGCAGACGAAAATGAACAGCAATTCCACAACCATATACCTCTTGGTCTTCAACCACCTCTTGATAGGCCTCTCGATCACTTCCAATAGTTACGCCTATAATAATATAGCTTGTAACTTATCTATGCGCTGACTCTAAATTATAGTCTTTGTTTTCTTTGAAAGATATTTTTATATATTATATTCTATCAATAAATTTTGGGTAAGTCTGCGCTTAGGCATCGAATTGTTCATTTGCATTTATGCGGTGTTACTACCTCGTCGAAAGTTTGTGATAAGATTATTTAAAGATGGTTTTGTATAGAAATGGTTAAGACATTTAATTGTAAGTTCAACTTCGCCTTCGATATAGAGAAAGCTCTATCAATGTTAAGTATTATTAGCTCTTTTAGTATATTGCACGCGAAGTCGAGGCAAAAGCTTGCTATAAGAATTGATAACATTTGGTTGTTGGCTGCTTAGGTCTGATTTCTTAGATAGTAAATATAGGTTAAGTTATATGTTTTCGTCTTTAATGTACAAATTGCCTTATTGCTACTTTTATTAGTATTATTAACATAGCACTAAGCTTATTTATTTATTGTAAAACACATTTTTGAATAAAATAATTGTTAAATATAATATTTGTTATTTTCCATCAATGGTTATTTATCTATTTCTTATTCTAGGCTTATATAAAAATCTCAAAATCGGTTTTTCAACACGCTAATCTCAGGAACCCATAGGAGAACAAACAATTATACTCGTACATTAAATAAACTAAGCCAGTGGAGCCTCTGGTAAAAGCTATTGGAATTATAAAGCTAATTCATAAATAAAATAAAACATTAGTTTCTTTTTTAGCCCAGGCATTGAACATTATAATTTATTTTATTTTTTCATTTTAATAATTCAAAAAATACCATGACTTTATTAATTTAAAGTTTCTGTTTGTGTATGTTACATATAAACTCGCTAGAGCAAAATGACTCACCCTACCAATATAATTTATAGTTTCCTTGAGAAAATCGAGGCTCGATTTCGTAATAGCCATAGTTCGTATATATAATTAATCACAATCTACAATCCCCGGTTATGTCAAATGTGGGGCACACGTGTACACTATACACTATTATTGACTTAAATCCAATGCCAATGGACACCTGTCACTGTATTTCCAAAGGATTTTTGACAATTAAAATTATTATTTTCAGCATTATTTTAAAATTAACTATATTACACAAACTTTACAAATTTAAGATTTATTATATAGGATTTCTCATCATTTAAAAGTATTTTTTTACTGTTTCTTGTATTGTAGCTAACTATTAAGTTAATGTATACTGAACGTGTATAAGACTGGAAATGTTTGCCCTCACGCAACCTCAAGCCAATACAAACTGCTAGTTTATTTAACTCTGACTTATACACATATACTTTTAGCCGTTTTGCTTTCATATTACGGATATAAAAATTATTATAATTAATAAATTCAAGTTAGATCTTGGTCAATAAGATGTTGCGATCTATTGAATCTATAAAGTCTCTATAATACATAATTCGAATTCTTCATAAATATTTAACTCATAATTTACCTTTTGATTTTTTTATATTTGTACAAAAATAAAACTATTTTTTTCAAATCAAGGCAAATCATCGTAAAGCCGTTATAATTTATAACAAAATGTAATACAAATGTGGCTAGAGCAGGTTATGTTGCACACAGTAGGACATTAGCCCATATAAACGTGCCAGTCCCCGTAAATATTTCCATTTACGTTGTCTCTACCGGAAATTTCTCATTCGCATATCTTGATTTTTTAGGTTTGCCAAACAGCACTAAAATGGCGCCTTATTTCAATATATTTTAAGTCACTGGACTTTAAACTGTTGCAATATATAATTAAAATAATGAACGTACCTCTTTACTCATATCAAATGTAAACTCTTTTAACTAATTAACTTTACCTGCTTTATTTATTTCATCATTTGTTAGATACCTGTGATTACTATAGACTTATTATTTTCCTAATGGGGCCTAATTAGCAAAATCGTATGCAAAATAACTCCAAAAGTTAATCCTTTGGGTGTTATTACGCTTATTTTTAAATGTAATACTTAAATAATATTGAACCAAACATCTTTATCATTATCAGCTTAATTATCGTTATTAGTAAATCACAAGTTGAAAATCAATGAAAGGGTAATGTATATATTTGTAGATCAAGAGACATCTGGGTCTCTTTCAGTAATTACATAGTACGATGGACAGTCTATATGCAAGAAGTGAAGAAACTTTCGCTAAGACATTAATATCGAATGTTCAGCTGGATCGTTTAGTTTTAGCGTTATCTGAAGTAACAAAATTGGTATCATCATCAAAAATACCACCTTCCCTGCAACGCTGTATTCTTATCAGAGCTCTTCGGATTTTAAAATCTATAGAGAATCAGAAGAATCTTCTAGATGTCGGCTTTGCCAGATGCATTCCTCATCCATTCTGCAAGGAAAGAGGTATTATGACCTTAGGAGAACTATGGGAAATTCCGCTGGAACATGAGTGGCTGTGCAACGAGTGTGGACGACCTCTTTACGATATTTTTGAAACAGTTTGATATACAGTGAAACAATAATAAACATAAAACATTTATAGTGACGTATTTGGTAAAAAAAAATCATGGTCTGGCAGTAATAACTAAACTATGGTTGTAGGACACCAGAACCTGACAACATAGTATTTGGCAGCCTTCTTAATTTTTTTTTTGTAGTCTTTTTATGGGATTGCAATCATTTATATTTATATGTCGTAGATTTTTTTTTAATTTCTTGTATATACAATATTTAAATTATTTTTACACTCCTTGTATATCAATTAAACTATTATTAATTTTAGTCTTAGAATAAAAATAATTTAACAACGATTTTCTTATTATTTGAAAATATTTATGCTCTAAAAGTCTACAAATACTCTTTATGTGTGATAAATATATCAAAAAATAATAAACAAAATATAGGTAATGAAAAAATGGTTTCGAAAAACATTTTTGAAGATATACTTCTTTTGGCACATTTGTAAAAAAGATGAGAGTAAAATTTTTACGATGTACGCGCACGCCGACAGCCAAAAAGCGACATAATGAAGTTAACTGTTTATTGCAATGGTAAACGTTTTTATTTTCTGACAAATTATATATAATATTATATTCTTTCCTCAAATAATATTCTATAAATATATGATTGTAATATGCCTAATTTAATTATTTTATTAATTTATCATTCTTTTACAAACAGAGAGTTGTGACATACGGGATGAAATCTTTAGCTATTTTGTTCTTTTATGCCAAAGATTATAACTTTTTACTTGCGTACATAAGCACACACACTTGTTTTTTTTATTTGACTGAATATTCAGTCTATCAGGTGTCTTCCCCTGATGAGAAGTGTCTGTCGACGGCCTAGTACTCGTACGTTGGTAAGCACATACATATAACGTGATATTTAGTGTAGAATTCTTATACCTTAAGAAGTACTTCAATTCACAGAGAAAGTTGTGAAATTTAGTTAGTATATTTCATTATTGCTCTATTTTCTTCAATCATTACATAACGCTGCAGGCGCCTTAGATATCGCCGATACCATGGTGATTATGTTGTACCCAAGTGACCAACGAAATAAATAATATCCAGTCATTATATGCTACTGATAGATACGGTGTACGTAAATGCAGTGTACATGGTTGATTTACTTTAAAATATATCTTATCTAACCATATAGGCCTGTCTTATAAATTAAACAACTTATATTACAAGAGCTATGCTGATACTTGATATGTAAGAAGTGTATAATATAGTAGCGGCCGTCAGCTAACTTTATGATATATTTATAAACTAAAATAAAATCTGCACTTTTAGTAAGCGCTTTATCTAATTTGGCTAATTTCATTTTTTAAATATTCTTACTAGTCCATAACCCAAATTCAGTACGGGAAAATGACTACCGGATCAGCTTGTTGATTAATAATGGTTTTTTTTAGTTATTGCAAGGAATGAAGTTTTGAATTGAAAATCTAAAAATGATTACGTTGACCCGTTGTCTGTTGTTCCAAACAAAGGCAGCCTCACATGTACAATACTTGGCCAACATATTAAGTATTTTTATTACTACATTTTGCCAGTTTAGCTCATGTGGTAACTGGAGTGGGGATCAAAGGCCTATGTACGTCCATCCCTAAGATGCAATTTATGTCCTTGCTAAATTTTATCGAAATCTGATCAGCGGTTTATGTGTGAAAAGATGACATAAAGAGTTATTCTCACGTTTATAATATTAATGCTCAACATCAAAATATAACTCCCGCCCTCGCGTAAAGCTATATAATAAAAAACGTCTTGATTAACGATGAACATATTCGGCCATCCTCACAATAATAAAATATCCACATCCCTGAACTTTGACCTTTTCAACGACCACTTTGACCATTTATTATAATATATACTGTTATACATTATATTCTTCCGCGATACGTTCGGATGTCATCTAGTTCATTCTTCTACGACTAAATCTACATAAATATTACCGATAAAATCCAGTAAATTCAGTAAATCCAACAAATTCATATACGTATACATATATATATATATATATATATATATATATATATATATATATATATATACATATATATAACTAAACTATATTTTGAAACTTGAATCTTTCATTATTAGTTAGAAGTTATAGAAAATTTTACAACACAATTAGAATCGCAAACCTAGTACCTAGTCATACTCATATAAACTGGAAAAAAATGTGTATCACAGTGTCCTTTCTATCGACCCCATTGATACTAATTCATCGAAGGTTAAATATCATATATACTATTTTGGTAATATCTTAAATGTTTAATAGAAATTTCTAATTCTTTATAACTTATTCGTTGTCAAATACTTATGAAAATCATAAACTTCTATTGCATTCATTTAGGTCAGGATTCAATATATTTTCGCGTATGTAATGATTGATATTATACTTAACAAACTGGCGACTTAAAATGGCGGTATTACTTCACTGTATAATGAACTAGCGGCTCACCCTTGCTCGTTCGGATTCGCCTTTAGAAAAACAAAAACAAATCTATTCCACGGGAACCGTACATTTTTTCGAGATAAAATATGTGCTATTCCAGACTATAATATATCTCTGCGCCAAATTTTGTCCAGATCCGCTCAGCCGTTCTGGCGTGATTGGGTAACAATCATCCAAACATCCATAGATAAACTCTCCCATTTATATTAGTAAGCTTAAAAATCATTCCTTATCTTGAATATAACTGTGTATAAAGTGTATTATAAAATATAATAAAATAATTTAATTAGTAAATATTAATATAAATATCAATTTTTAATTAATTTACGTAAATGCAACGTAAATAGGTGATGAAATGAAATTTCATTCACATCCTGGTGATTCATTCTATAAATTTAGGTACCAAATTGCCCTCTATATCTAGGTCTAGATAAAGTTAGAGGGGCGTGAAGGGCCTATAAAAGCACTAGGGCCCGTTTCAAGCCAAGTCAGTCAAGAACCCCGATCGACACTACTTGAAAACATGAAGGCTATCGTAAGTAATATATTAACTAAAAAAACATAAAAATAAATATAATATAAAATAATAAAACTGAACTTACAACTTTTAATATTCTAAAAGTCGAAAAAAACTTTTCTGAACTTTCAAATATTATCAAAATTGGCACTCTATGTGTGTTGTAGTCTATTTATGACAACGAATCACATATGTTTCCTACAATTTCAAGTATTAGAAACTGCATTACGTAAAAATAATCTGTACCTATAATAATGTTTATATTCCATTTGTTTTTCAGGTTTGTGTACTCCTCCTGGCCGCGGCCGCAGTCTTTGGTGCAGAAGAGAAAAAGAACGAGAAGCGTGGCTTACTAGGTCTTGGATACGGTGGTGGCCTGTACGGTGGTCACGGTCTGGGTCTGTACAGCGGTGGTCATGGCCTGGATCTGTATGGTGGTCACGGTATCAGTGTAGCCTCTGCTCCCATCGTGAGCCATAGTGTGGCCATCCCTGCTCCCGTTATCAGCCATAGCATCGCAGCTGCTCCTATTGTAGACCATGGACTATACGGTGGTCATGGTTTAATCGGTGGTCATGGTTTAATTGGTGGTCATGGTCTGATCGGAGGTCATGGCCTGATCGGCGCTCCACTTCTTGGACTCGGTCATGGTGGCTGGCATTGAGACTACACTTTGTATTTTTTTTAAATCAGTACAATAGTTCCAAAATAAGTAATTTTGCATCTTGCAAGTACACACATCGCGTGGGTCTTTCAGTGCCAAACTAGTTTCTTCGGTGTCTATGTATTATTAAGGTGAATAAAAATTAAAAAAATATATTTATTTATTATTTCATATCAAATTAATTAATAATAGTCATTTATTGAAGAAAATATTAAAAGTAAATCAAAAATTGTAATGTAAAAATCTAAATAAGATAAAATGATAAAAAAATAATGTAGTAATTTAAAAAATTGCGACAGCCTTGTTCCAAATTTTCTTTAGAAGTTTTTTGTTATTAAATAGATACATAAAAAATATATTTCAATGTGTTTGCAAATCCTTAAAGTTGTTGCAATCGGAAATGTCTAAGTGCTCAGTGGACGCGGAACTTGCGTCACACGACTGACGATATTTGATACTTATAAGTATATTTTCTTTAGCTTTAGAGACTTTGCTTGAATGATATTTGAATCTATCTTTTATAGGATCATTTTTATTTAGTAAAAAAATAACTATGATGAGTATTAACCAAACTTATTTCTCTTAATACATTTCGTTTTATCGATGATAATTATCAATATCGTGTAAAGACTTTTGATAAATATACCTTTAGCAATACTGTAAAGTAGCAAAGCAAAGAATAAAAAGGAGTGATAAATTATCTAACGCCAATAAAATGATTTATTTAAAGCAAAAGAACTTTTCCACCTATTTGGTACTATGCATTATATGCATAGATATATAATAAGTATTTATTAATGGCATAGTATCATATACAGGACATTTATTTATTCGACAAAATTAAATAAATACAACAAGTCCTAAAAACTCTCAACAAAAAAGGAATTTGTTTACTGGAATCATATTATTTCCGATTATTAAAACCGATTTTCTATTACCTAGTATAATATGATCTTAAACATTGAAATGTATAAAATGTACTACAAACTACTAAGCAAGTAAAAACGTAGTAATTGAACGACCTAGCTTCGCTTGGCATTTTTTCCGATAAAACATAAAAAATACGTTTTTCAGTAAAGACACCTATATAGATAAACTTAAAAAGCAAAACCTTATCCAAAAACAACGCCGTTACTAAGAGCTATATATATATATATATATATATATATATATATATATATATATATAAGATGTATTCATAGGCCGATAACTTTTGATAATATAAACACAGATTACTGTATAAGGCCTGTATATCTTGAATTCAGAAACATAAATATTTCAAGAGTCGACCTCAGTTCATTGAACTCACTCTTTAAGCACTTAAATCTTAAATATTCCTTTTCTAGAAATTGTGCCACAGCTTATGTAACATGATAACAAGTATATGTAGGCCTAAAACATGTGTATGGCACAATATATTTTGTCATATTACTGTTGCACCTAACGAGTTTCTTGAACTAATCTAGATCTATGTAATTTTACAGTATATAAATGCAGTAAATAACAACTTACGTAATATTTGACATAGTAAAAGCAAGTAAGTAATTAACAAAGTATAACATTTTGTTAGTAACTCCAACCTATAATTACTACTTAAAGCTATTTACTCTAAACACATGCACTCTGAAAGCATAGAATTAGTTAAAGGTTTTATACTAAGAACTAGCGAGTCACCCTCGCTCCGCTCAGATTCGTTTCTAGGAACATTTTCTCAGAGATGAAATATATTTCCGCAGTAAAAAGTGTCCTATATGTTGACCCGGATACCCAGTTATCATCGTACCAAATTTTATCAAAAGATGTACCTTTTACGGTTTTCTCGTGATTCGTTCCCAGACCGACAGAGAAACAGGCAGACAAACAAAAATTCCAAAAACTGTAGTTTCGGCCTTTGTATCGATAATAAAGACTATTTCAATAAGATTTTCCAAAAAAATATTGAATGTACAAATTCGACTCAGTATTTTGTTATATGTATAGACTAAAAACTACAGAATCACAGATCCAATTTTCCTACTCAATGCAAGTTTTAAAAGTTACGAAGCGCTTCTCGAGGCTTGCTTCACATTTACGACATATTTCTTTCATAAATTCTATTTTCAAATATTAATATTTCAGAAATATATTTATTATTTCTAACAACTATTAGCAGTACAGCAAAATTGACTTAGTCGTGAGAAGCATTGCTTTTTACAAGTGACCTCAGTCACTTCTTCTAAATAGGTAACATTTTAACAGCAGCCTACTACATATTTCGATATATTGGGTTATAAACCAGCTAATATTAATCACAAACCAATAAACTCTGTCTAAGTCCATCCATCACATCTGATCTCCTGATGCACAAACAGAGGAAATGCAACAAATACACTAATATTAGTGAGGATGTATCCATTTCTTTAAATAAAAAAATGTAATTTATGTATAACACTTCATATACTTTAAAGCATAATAATTCGATGATATTATATCGTAGTTAGGTATAGTGCGTATATTTAGATCAAATTATTAACAAAAAACAGACATAAAGATTCGTTGACCACTAACATATTATGTTATATTTCAATAATATAATATTTAAATAGAAAAAACTTCTTACAAATCAAACTTGGTTTTTAATTTTTGTAAAAGTAAAAGAATGTGATTATAAATAAATACATAAACATTATCAGTTCAATGATCTTAGAGTTATTAATAAAACAGCCTCTAACAGATGAAATTTGAGGAATTTAATTTAAATATGATCCGTAATAGTTAAGATATTGGATTTTGAAATGGAAACAATTAATGTAAAAACTTTTAAATTTTCTTTTTACATGATTACAAAGAATTAAAATTGAACTCAAGTATCTCGAGATTCTTCTGTTTCACAGTTCTGTTGCAAAAAAGTTACTTATTTAGGGGAGTTTTATATTTTCCACTGCTAACACTACACAAGGATGTGAGGAAAATGCGAGTCAACGTTTATTACATTTAGTTATCCATTGTTTTGAATATTTGATAATTGCATTGATCAAATTGGATTCAAACCTAAAAATATATTTATATTTTTATTACAACACTTTGAATTCATTTGATATCAAAGAAAAAATAATATTTTTTATCTAAAATTACATATGTAATAAATTCCAATAAATCCAAATTAATAGATGTTATCGTATGAAAATAGTAAATTTGAGCAAAACTTTAAACAGCGCTCGTAAAAATAATTTATTCGACTGGAAAACCCACTCCATTTAAGACCGCACCCAATATTACCTTCACCCTTACTTTAACCAGTTTGTTATATAAAATACAACAAAAAGCAAAATATAACAAGTAAAATCTAAATTGTGTTAATATAAGTGGTAATATATTACCATATACTACGATCTAATAAAATTATTGGAATGTTGTAATTATTACCTAATTAGAATTTAATTTTGCTTAAATTATAATAATTGTGTGATATTTTTTAGTAACTTTATGAATTATATATAATTATTTGTCCAGCTACGTTATTTTGTTTTATTTTTATTTTATTTAGGATTTCAAACAAAAGATGATGATGTTCTCCTGGCCGATTCCGGCCACGGCGGCCAATCTCATTGAGACTAGCCGACTGCGCAGGAGATATTATAGCGCACAAGTGTACGCACAGACACAGGTGCACTCTCTGTTCCTATCACTCTCATACTCTAGTGGGACGACCACTCGACACGACCAGTGAGAGTTAAGGCGCTGCTCTCCGAGGCACGGGGGTGAAACACCGCCAACTTCCCAACTCCAGGCTGTTACTGAGGCTTACTATACAGAAATACTCAATAACTAAACTTGGCCCGACCCGGGACTCGAACCCAGGACCTCCGGGTGTGCAGCCGTACATGCTAGCCACTACATCACCGATAAAGTACATTTACACATTTATATATATTTTTTAACTAAAAAATTTATATAATATGTCATGTTTTTTTATAGTTCTAGTCGTATAATAGACGACAATAACTGGCCAATCTGGACATACTGAGAAGCTTTTATGCAAAAGTTTAGTTGAATCTACTAATAAAAAATTGTAGTAACACTAAAGAAAGAGAAGTGCCCAATGATGAGCCTTAACTGCAGCAAAGCCAGCTATCCAACGGCATTACCTTATATTCTCAATAATATATGCCAAAGCTGTGGTACTTTAGGAAAAGATGCGAACTATTTTACCTGTTATGCTAATTACAAGTTTCATACGTTTTTATAATGATCATATGTAAATATTGTATATGACTGTTTAAAATAATAATTAATGTATCTTCGATATGACATCATTCAAAATCTTTAGGATCCGACTTAAAAGATCAAGTTCGGGCTATAATTTCGCCTTTTGTGGTTAATGATAATAATTCTTCTTTAGTCTTAATATTTTTATTTATTTTAAACAGTATTTGTCCAGTAGTCTAAAGTCGATCATAAGCGTTGTGCAGTGGAAAACATTTGCGAATAAAATTTACCTATTTATATAAAAAATCTGTTCCCAAATTTTTTATTCATAACAATTAGAGTTCGCCAATAAACAATAAAAACCAGTTGACAAACAGAGGAGAAAAAGATACTGAACTGTTTTGTCTTTGCCTACATATACATAAAATAAAATTGTTACTAATCCGAATCTGTACATTAAATATTTTTTGGAAAATCTTATTGAAATAGACATTATTATCGATAAAGAGGCCGAATCTATAGTTTTTAGAATTTTGTCTGTCTGTCTGTCTGGTACCGCATCACGGAAAAACCACTGGAGGGATTTTCATGAAATTTGGTATGGTGATAGCTGGTTATCCGGGTCAACATATAGAATACTTTTTACCGCGGGAAAATATCTCATTTCTGAGAAAAAATATAAAACTCCAATGTAAAAGTATAGTAATATGTAAAACCTAAGAATTTGGGTTTCTGGTAATCTAAACGCGGGCGGTGCCGCGGGAAATGCTACTTCAAGTAATAAAGAGATCTCGACTCTCAAAATGTCAACAAAGTATTTACCCGCATAATTATTATTATTATATTATGTAATATAACATGAGGACCTTGACTTTTTTAATAACATCTAAAATTATAATTATTAAAAAAATCTGCTCCTAATACCGTGATCTAGCCTTTTTTAATATTGGGAAATGCATTTACGCATACCATAAGCATACACACAGTTAGTTATCTGGGACTCAACGGCTACACAAGCCGTTTTTTTTAATGTTGGGAAATACATTTACGCATACTACCTGCATACACACAGGTGGTTATGTAGGACTCAACGCTTTAAGAAGCCTAGTACTTAGTACTACCCACTAAAACCCAACAGATCCTCCCACGTCTTAATGGGTCGTCGCAGGATCACTTACGCACTAAACCACGGCGCCCCCACGGCAGGTCGGCCAAAGCAGATCACAACTACCATGGGGTTTCTCACAGTCCACTCTGCTGTAAAAGAAGTACCAGCTATCTAGTCTATGAATAGGCTATAAAACGCAAAAAATATTTTTCAAATCTAAGTGGTAATTCCCAAAAATTAAAGCATTCAAATGAACAAAGAATCATGCAATCACGTCAGCTCTATAATATTAAGTATAGATTAATCTTCGAAAATTCTATGTAAAGAGACAAATATAACCATAAAAAGTTCGTGATAATATTATATCCTGTTAGAGATTTATTTTGTAATTTAATTTAGGTATTGATCCCGCTTGGTTGGTTGGTTCACCTCATTAACAGAATGTTTAATGATTTACCAGCGAATGGCGAGCCGCCTAAGCGTAGATAAGTTCCATACCATATATAAAGATAATTTTATTTTATCTATATGCTTGAAAGATATATTTCCTAAAATAATATTTTGCTAAATCATTTAATGTATCTAGTTATTTTAAGAGTTTAAAAGATTAAGGGACAGTAAAATAAGTAAATAATATTACTTAATTCTTTTAGATATAATATAGATTATAATAAAATAGTATCTTAGCGAAATCTGTACATCAAATGTTTTTAAAAATAATGACTGTAATACTTTCCTAGATTTACGCGAATTGTAGGTTTTAATAAGGTCTACAAAAATTACACATTAAACATTTAAATTAAAAACATTTAAAACGTACCTAGCATCGCACCCGAGCGAAGCTAAGGTATGTCGCTAGTTTTATATAAAAGATATTTTTTTATTACTATATTTATTTATTCCTTTATATATTTGATATTTTATAATATGAAAAGTATGACAATGTAAAAATTACTTAAAAACTACTTAAGGATATGGTTAACTTTTGGAAAAAATTGGTTTACTGTTTTAAAATAAATATAAAATATATTTTTAACATACATATGTTTTTATCAAAACAATAATAAAAAAAATATTAAATTAATTTTATTATTCGAAAAAATTCGTAAATTAAGTACTAAAAATACATATTTGAATATGTTGTTCTAGGTTGTTGTACAAATTTTTCTTTCAACCACTTATAATATTAAATTGTATACATCCTATTAAAAAAATATAATTATTACTATTTAAACTATTTAAATATATAATGACTTCCAACTATATTCATTTTTCTAATATCACTACAGATCTCTAAAAAATACTTTTTGATAAATAGTTTAGAATCCTGTTCCATTCGACGACAAGACGAGATGTGATGAGCTTATTATTAGAACCCTGCCTATCATATATATAAGGTCACCTCGCTAATTTGCCAATAGTTGTGAAAGCGTGCGGCCGAACCGCTTCATACTATATCATTTAATTATAATAGCAAAATGAAATTTTTGGTAAGTTGCTATTTTTTTTATTAGGTGCTTTGTTCGCATTTAAAAATAAATTGAGTATTATATATTTTTCAGTCATTTTTATATATTTATATAAATATTATTGTGAGAAAAAATTATTAAATAGTGTAAATATTTATAATATTTTGTAAATACTAATAAACTACGTACATATGTTGTTTGCAATATGAGATATTTTTCTTTTATGGAAATATGAGATTTCATGCATTTTTTTGACATTTACTTAAAATTACAACCCATAATCGTGTCAGAAATATGTAGATTAGATATCTAGAATATTATTGTTTTATTATGATGTAATCGTCTTTGTTGTATTTAAATTTTAATTTAACTTTAAGAACTCTATAATTACATACTATATATCTTTTTTAATTTTTAATTTATCATAATTTAGAGTGCTCAATTTCCTTATGGGCTTACTATTTTTTACAGATCGTTATCGCCCTGGTAGCCGCGGCGAGCGCCGGCCCCATTAAAAAGGAAGAGCGTAACAAGCGCAGCTACGATCTATCCTCATATGGAACTCCAATTACATATAGCAGCACTCCATTGCAATATAACAACGCAGTACAATATGGGACCGGTCTGCAATACGGCAATCCTATCCAAATCTCCAATTTGAAATCTGACTCAGTGCAGTCCTCTTCCTACCAATCCAACAAACTTGAATCAACTTCCTCGCAATCATCAATCGTCCAACCTACATATGTTCAAGCTGCAATCGCTCAACCTACAACCTACCAGGCCGTAGCATACCAACCCTCTTACCAAACCTATTCTTATCAACCAGCTTACCAGGCAGCAACTTACCAACCCGTGGCTTACCAGTCTGCAGTAAGTTTTTCTACAAAATGCTTTTAAGAACTAAATGTTTTATTTATTATTTTCCTAGGTAATTTAATTTTAAATGAGTTAATGCTGATAAGTGCATATCTTTATTCTTCTTACATACATATAAAGCTTGTAAAGAGGGCTGAATACGATAAAGCTTAAGAGTTTGTTTGTTTATTTGTTTAAACGAACTTATCTAGAACACAGAACAGAACAGACTATCTAGAATCACGTTAGAACCTTTAGGAAAATGTCAATTGTACATAAATTAACAACAACAAAAAGCTATTACATTATATAAAACTGGGAAGGCAAAGAAAATGTGCTACAAAAGACATCAACGCGCTCGAAGACATTCTTGAGCATGCAAAAATATTTAAGTGTTTATTATTATGTTAAGCCGTTACCAATAAGTATATATAATAACACACATTTTTACTTTTACAGTACGCAGTTTCACCACAAGTGTACAGCGTACAGACACCTGCCACATACGCTTACCCCGTCCGCCAACAAGCCGTGTACAGACCAGTGCAAACCTACACTCAATCTTACGCTCCCGCTCAGGTTTACAACCAAGTTCCACTCCAGAACTACCAGACCTACCAGACCTACCAAACCAACCCAATCCGTAGCTACAACTACGCGCCTCTAAGCTGGCAATCTGGAAGCTACGGCAAAGCCTACAACTATGACCCTTGGTGCTGAGTAATATTATTTTAAATACATATATGTATATTGTTATAATTCCCACCAATTCATAACACAAAAGTGCAAAGTAGTTTATAATGCTAAATAGCTTTAAATATTTGCATTTCAAAGTGAAAATAAATTAATTAATACGTAATATGCTTTTTATTTACAATTTGTATCTATTACTAGCAAAATCCGCGGCTATGCCCACGTTCAATCTACAAAAAAACTCTTTGGTTTTATGTCATATAGTGGATTTATATAATATTGTTTATACCAAAATACTAAAATCGCGATAATGAAATGGGGTGGAGGGAAGACGAGGGGAGGGGTGTTAGAGTATACTTTACTACCTATTCTAGTACCTACAAAAAAAATTTAAAATCGGACAATCCGTTTCAGAGGAGTGCGACCACAAACACCGTAACACGAGATTTTTATATATTAGATTATATTTATTTATCACTTTGATAAATAATAAATATTTCGATCATGCCATAGCAACAACATATTAATTAAACAAAATATACAATTAAAGCCTAAAAACAAGATGAAGGTTTTAAAATAACATTTTAAATCTAAGCGGAGAATATTAAATCAATAGAATATTTAAACATATTAATTGATATTTGTTATCTCGAATGACCACTTAGGGCTCATTATATTTGCATATTATACATTATGTATTATCTGTATCCGTAACAGTTTGTGTGATTGCTTACAAATTATTTACCATTAATTAAAATTTTGCAAGGCTTTTATATTTTTTAGACTCAATTAAAAACAAAATTCAAATTGATTCACATATAAATCTACAAATTTTTTAATTTGATAAATTAATAATTAATTTATCCACACGATAAAATAAAAAAGGTATAGGTATTATAATAATAAAGCGTGTTCATATGTCTGATTTAATATTTTACTTGAAGACTATTTTTATGACGTTATTTATAAAGTACATATGTACATACATAGGTGTCTCATATGAATCTCTATTGTGGTGTAAGAAATAATAATAATAATAGGGCTGGTGCTTTATATTATGCAGTGTATAGTTAGGAGTGAAAAAGAATTTTGAGTGTACACAAACTTATGGGGTATTACGTTTTCTGATTCGGTAAACCATATACGGTTTTGAAATGAGAATTCGTGACTAGGTTCGTTCACACAATGCTGTTTACCGAATCGGTTTTCGTATACGATTTGCAAAATAAACGAATCGGTTATTTTAACCATAACATGTGAATCCAACCATATACGAGTATAATAGTGACGGCACGTTTGGCTCAGTTTGTAGTGATCCGACATGCTGTGCCACCGGTCGCGGTTTCGAATCCCGCTGGAGGCATTCATTTGTCTGATGAGCACGAATGTTTGTACTCCAGTCATGGGTGTTTATATTTATAATATGTATGTATTTAAAGTTATATATGTGTAGTGTATCTGTATCTGGTATCCATAACACAAGTCTCGTAGCGTACCATGAAACTAGATGGTGCTATGTACTAACACGGTAATGTGTGTAATATTACCGTGGTATTAATGTCCCAACATATTTATTTAAAAACCATTTCGGTAAAGCGTAAATGCTTGAACTCGCTCTAATCCCACGCAAATAGCCTGATCGATGACAGGAGCAGTAACAATTTTAAAGAAATATTATTATTCTTAATTGCAAAAAACGAGAGAAGTTATTTATGACATTTAATAAAAGAATCAAAACTAAAATGAACGATGAAACTAATTTATGAAAATAATGAATATTAAATAACAAAACATAAGATCTAATTTAAAACTCCAAGGAGGGTTTGTAGCGTCCAATTAATTATAATGTTCAATGCTATACCGCTATAAATCATAATTTATAGAGCAAGTTGGATTCGTCTGTCCTCTTTATTTTATAAATTAAATATTATAATATTTTATAATTATTTTAACAGCAGTTATATTTTATTTATTTATGTACCACAAAAAATACATATGAAAACAGAAAACAGATACCTTGTGTACAAAGGCGACACGTTTGGCTCAGTGTGTAGTAACCATACTTGCTATGCCAGCGGTTGAGGATTCGAATCCCGCTAGGGGTATTCATTTGTGTGATGAGCACGAATGTTTGTACTCCAGTCATGGGTTTTTATATTTATAATATGTATATATTTAAAGTTATATTAGTGCATCAACTATCTGGTATCCATAACACAAGCTTCGTAACTTACCATGGAACTAGACGGTGCTGTGTGTTAATGTCCCAACATATTTATTTATTTTATTTAAACGATGACTTATCTCGTTAAAAGATCTCTACAAGTAACCCTCAAGCGTGAGAAAAAAATAATAGTGATGGTGTAGATACAAACAACAAATACCAATATAAATATACAAACATACATATATAGACCAAATATATACCTAATTTTGGTTTTTAGTAACCTTTAAACGCTAACGCTTGCAAAATTGATGATAAAGCCGGTAGACTCTAATTATCGCAGTATCCTTGTAAAAAAAGGGCTATAAATATAAAAGGGATGCAAGGATGTGTTGCAAGGATAAGTTTGTCATCCCATATAACTCGCGCGCCATCTATCGTACATTTTTGAACCTATGACATAAATCTCTATATAAACAAAGTTTTACCGGAATCGCAACCTATTACTACGACTAATTATAGAAAATTATACATATAATTATTTTATATATACTATGATTATATTTGAGAAAATTATACAAATACATAAATCTCAAATCATCTATAAACTCTCGCGATACCGTTCGTATTAGTTGAAGTATTTAGAAACATGTCACCAAAGTCTCATCATAATTGAAAAAATGGTTTAGATAGACACAAAAGATTTTTTGGCTCAGTTTGTAGTGACCCTACTTGCTGTGCCAGCGTCGCGGATTCGAGTCCCGTTGGGAGCGTTCATTCATTAATGTGACGAGCACGAATGTTTGTACTCCAGTCATGGGTGCTTATATTTATAATATGTATGTATTTAAAATTATATATGTATAGTGTATCAACTATCTGGTATCCATAACACAAGCCTGGTAGCTTACCGTGGAGCTAGATGGTGCTGTATGTTAATGTCCCAACATATTTTTTTTTAATATATGTACATGATAGAACCAAGATACTGTTATCAATGACTATTTTACGTACGTAGCTATTTACTGTCTTTAATATTATTTTATTTTAACTATAAATTATATATTTTATACTGAAGGTCTAATAAACATCTTGCAACTTAATATTTACGTATAAGCACACACCCACCTGTCGGAGGTACGCAATATCTTCTGAGCGGTGCAATGGAGGCCATCTTCATCTTATAGACATGTCACTTTGGTACTAATTTGATACAAATTGCCATCTTTAAACTTTGCATATTCTTATTAGATTAATAAGATTAAGTTACATCATATAACAAGTAAATTAACGCTTAACTAGATTTTACCTATGAATTTCAAATGAAACATAATAGAAGTGTATAGTGTATTTAACATTACAATTTCCTTTCCATATCAATATGCTTGCATTAATATTGACTAATAAGATTAAATAACTTATTTTGAACGTGAACCTAATTAGTTTTCGGAAGACATGTGAAGTCCAACATTCCGTACATGGCCAGCTATGGCTTGATCCCCCAAACATTGAGAGGAGGCCCTTGCCCAGCAGTGAATTTTTAAAAAGAAATAATGATAATTAATTAGGGAATGTTAAACAAAACACTTAAAACAAAAAACAAAAAACTTATTTTTAATTATACAAGAACTATGATATAATCTTTAATCATCAATCCTTCTGGAAATGTTTATTTTTAGTAACATACGCAGTGGTTCCTGGGTTAGTATTACGAGCTGAGAAGTGTTTTTTCCTTAGAAAATACTTGTACGTCAAGACGTCTATGGCACTTTGAATGAGTGAGGGAAATGAGAGCAAACTTGCTACTTACCTAACTTAAAAATTGTTATCAGACGCGTATGACCTTGCAAAAATCGTATAATTATGGAAAATTCATTTATTATTATTTATACTTGCGATTATTTTATTTATGCAAAAACATAATATCGAAAAATCTCGAAAGAAGATCCATAAATTTTAATATGTAAATTTTAATATACATTTAAAAATTGAACTACATGTAATTTAATATCATATTTAAAATTCACCTAAACATTCTCATGCGATTATTTCAATTACAGAACTTAATAATAATTATACGGTATTATAAATTATTCGAACTTTTTATCTTTTATTAACAATAAATAAAATTACAAATATACTTAATTATGTAGAGAATATACAAAACCAATATACACTTAGTTATTACCTACTGTACAAGTCATGTCCGCGTGGAATAGTGGCAAGAAGGTGGGATGCGCATTGAAAGCGCGATGCTTGATACCTCGGTGGACTGGCTGGTAGACTCGCTGATGATTTTTGCGTCTTCCATTATGGCTGGTCCAGCAATTTTCTTCCTGGGTATTTTCGAGCAGGGATTCTACTTCTTCTTATATCTTCAGAGTTCTTCAGAGTTCGGAGTTCGGAGGTCACCACTTTACAAGTTGGGGGTTAAGAAATGAAACTTGTAATCGTAGAGATGAACAGAATTGAGTAGAATATTTATTGTCAAAAATGTGACTCCTTATATACAAAAGTTAAGTTTAAAATAATTACAATTAGAAAATTACACTAACAAATAAAAAGCTTAGTTTTATTTTAAATATGATTGGTCGTAAAATAAGAATGAGAATAAAATAGCGCGAATCTTCTGCTCTCATGGATTCTGCTAGACGCATTCCCCCGTTGAATGGACAATACCGCCGATTCTTTGGGCGAAAATCCACCAGCTCTTTCATCACCAGTAGAGGCGATAAAGACGAGATGTTATATCATTCTAACCTAATAAGGAATGATATGAAAAATGTAGCTAGATTAAGAAATGACGCATCAAGCGCAATTTGTCATCAGGCAGATATAATTTATAATTATGACAACCCGGAAATAGTAATCATAATATTAAAAATTATTGCAATTTTAATATAATCTACGCTAATATTATAAAGAGGTAAAGTTTATAAGTTTGTATGTAGGGGGTAATCTCTGAAACTACTGATCCGATTCTTACAAGTCTTTCACTAAAATGAAGCTACGTTACCGCCGAGTGCTATACATAATTTTTAATTCCAATAAAGATATACATAAAGTACTGTCAGAAAGTATAATTAATATAGATGAAGTCAAAAAATCGATAAATAATTTAATAAAAAAAATCGATAAGCAACATTTAATATTTCATTTAAGCTAAAATATAATAATAATAATGTCCTCCCTGATCGATTCCGGCCACGGCGGCCAATCTCATTGAGACTTGCCAACTGCGCAGGAGATATTATAGTGCACAAGAGTACACGCAGAAACAAGTGCAATCTCTATTCCTTTCACTCTTATACTCTAATGGGACGACTGCTTGACACGACTGGTGAAAGTTAAGGTGCAGGACCGACGGCTTTTCGTGTTCTCCGAAGCACGGGAGTGAAACACCGCCAACTTCCCAACTCTAGACTGTTACTTAGGCTTACTATACAGAAAGACTCAACAACTAAACTTGGCCCGAACAGTGACTCAAACCCAGTACCTCTGGGTGTGCAGCCGTACATACTATCCACTACATCACCGAGGCAGACTAAAATATATCTTATAACTAAATAGATTAATAAAATAAAAGATAGTAATGTAGAATATATGTACAATGTACATAATATATTGGTCTTCTATGTAAATATAAGTAATGTTTATCCGCGGTTTTTATTGCATATTATGAATATACATATAAAATAGCCAGTGTCACTCTTATCGACGTCCTATCCCCATTGAAATTATCCATCAGTGAAAGTCCCGCTAAAATTTGTTAAGCCATAACACCTTGACCCGCGAAAGCCCTTTTGCTTTCTAGGCTAATTCATTCCCGCGACTGATAATATGCAGTTAAACATTTTTGCACTTGCATTCAAGATATTTATTTTAGTATTTCTATATACATAATACGTGTTTTACATCGCTAAATATAAAAAAAATCCAAGCTTTTATTTAGTTTCAACTGTCCCATTAACTGTCTGTAGTCAAATTTTGCAATTTAAATTTACCCACTTTCCAGTTTCAAATTGAGCTGAAATTTGGCACACATGTTTGGTTCTTATGGCAATGTACGACTGCTTAAATGCCGCTATTTTTAATTCAATATGACGGACGTTACAAAATGGTGATTTATTGTTTCCATAGTGACCCTTATGATATGGACATCAAATAAAAGGGATTGATGAACGAAACACAATAAGCAAAGTAACATCATTGTTAATCCAATATTCCAGCGGATTCTCAAAGAGGCAGACTATATTTTTTATGCACCCCATGATATGGATATCAAATAAAAGGAATACGAATAAAATAAAAACTAAAGAAGAAAAAACATAAAAAAAAAACAAAAAAGTATAACACCTTACGTGTATGTACGCAACACTTAAGTACACACACACACACACATGTAAGGACACACACACACTTTTTTTAAATATTTTAGTACAAATAACCGTGTGAGCTTAATATAATACTGTAGCTATGTCTATTAAAATCAAAGACAGACTTTAATTTTGTTTATAAATTGTAAGTACAGATATGTATGTATGTGCACATATGTATGTATGTACATTATATAGGTACCTCAAGGCATCGTTCGCGTTGCATTTTTTCAAAAGTTTGACAGAGTTCACAGAAAATAGACAAATATTTTATTTTTTATGATGTAATGCAAATCTCTATCATAAAATATTATGAGTAAATCGAATTCACGCATCATTAATATGACTTAGTCTGAGGTGCGACGATTTGCAGTAATTGGCTAAACTGATTGATGTCGCAGGTGTGCCCTGCGGACTTTGCGTCGATCCATCTTGAAACACACACTAACTATTAACCTATCGAATGCGTTTCATTTATTTGTTATTTGGCCTAGTTGGTTTATATGTAGTCCTAAATTCCAGTTCAAAGTTGGGCCAAAAAAGTTACAATTGACGAGCCAAGTTGAGTTAAGAAGGATGAAAACTAATTAGAATGTAAACAAAAGTTATCCAATTTTGATTGTCCTTTTTATTTAGATAGATGTCCAATTTCTTTTTGAAAACTTCCGAAACATTGAAAACCCCAATGTAGTACTTCCTCCTTCTTCAAATTGAACAGAAAGTCCCTTTTAAATCCATACAGCCATTCTTGAACTACTAACAGTTTTCTTTTAGATAATAATTATTTTGGAGTTTTGAGATGATGTAGGTTATAAGACAATCAAAAACAGGACCCTAAAAAGCATTCAATTTGTTTTATGTACATGGACAACGCGTTTCTTTGTTATTTTAATACCTTGGCATATGTATAGTAGCATATTAATTAAAAAATAACTATTAGTATCTGCCTGAATAGATGATATATAATATGCTATAAATAAAATGTCGTCATTAACACGTTAAGACGAAGCCCCAGGCACATTTTTATAATTATCGCCTATTAGTAAGATTATTATTTAATTTATGATTCAACCTTATATAGAAAAATTAGATATCTAATCTTAAACTGGTAATGAATGTTTTATTATCATAGCCTTATTACTATGCTACTTTTTACTACCTATTATATTCGAACATTTTACGTAATAAGTTTTATAAGTTACATTCGTTTATTCTTTTTTTGTTGTGTATATGGTTTCTTTTCAGTTCCTTTTTTAAAGTCTCACTGCTGAGCATGGACTTCCCTTCAATAAAATGGTGTGCAGGCCATAGTCCACCATATTAGCCAGGTGCGGGTTGACGGACTTCATATGTCTTTCGAAAACTTGCTAAGTTCTCTCAGGCATGCAGGTTTTGTCAGGATGTTTTCCTTAACCTCAAGACAAATTGTAATCCTGTAGAAAATTATTTGAAAATATCATAAGCGCAAGACCCGGAATATGAACCCGCTCCACATGCATTTCCAAGCGAGCGCGTTACCACTAAATTAATTAACTGGGCTACCACTGCCTTATATGTATTTTGTTTAAATATAAATATTTTAATGTACATTTTTCCTCTTGGTAAATTACAAGAATTACATAGTAATTATTTATATAAATAAAAAAAGATGCGATTTTGTATGTTTATACTTTATACGTTCCTAAACCATTCATCCTTAGACATGTCCCCATGAAACGAGGGTATGTCGCTAGTAACTAATAAAACTACAGAAAGCAAAATATAATTTGATTCTCTCTTTGTTCATTTGATTCGTGTCTTATATTATTTTATACTAGCACCCTGCTTCGACTTTGCTCGCTTATATACCTATTTATAATTTGAAACTTGGCAAAACTTGAAAACTATTTATTACATTTTGCTACATCTTTTCAACCCCTTTAATGGTTTATTTTCATAATTGGACCCAGTTATGCAAAAACAGCCATGTGCGTAAAAGTACCAACAGAGTTATAAGCATTTTTCTGTCGATTTGCACTTGGGTTATGTTTTGTTTTTCTGGTTATTTTAAAATTGAACAATATTTATATAAGTATTGTTTTTTTTTATAATTATTTTATTTTTTATAATAAAATGCTTATAACTCTGTTGGTACTTTTACGCACGTGGCTGTTTTTTGCATAACTGGGTCCAATTACCCTTTTATTGTTTACGTATGCAACAGGGAATATGCGTGTGATTTAAATAAAGATGAAATAATTTTATCTTTATTGCTTTTGAATTAAGCCTATATCAATATTTTTAATGTAATTTCTTTTTGTTTAAGAAAATAATTATTAAAAAGTGCACATATAGGTAAGAAATTCAAAGAAACGCACGCAATTGGTCAGACCGAATATGACGTCAAAGTATTATCGTAACAGAGCTACAAAGTAAAGTCATCATTTTTCTATGTAAGATACTTTGACGTCACACCAAGCGTACAAAATGACGGGTGTTGAAAGTAACGGTATATAATATAATTTTTTTTTATACCAAATTTTAGTTTTTAGAGCTGGATATTTTGTTACTGTATAAAATTATTTATTGTACAAAATTTAAAAAAAAATCTTGCTTATTCCCTATTATAAGAACAACTAACTATTTTATTATGTTCACCGGTAAAATACACCGTATTTTTTATGTAACATTACAACTCTGAGCATTTGTGGTTTTGAATTTTGTGTCTGTACAGATTTAGTTACAAAGTAATAATAAAAAAATCATTTAACATACATTTTAAAATCTTAGCTACATTGCACGTGTATTATAAATATATACTAGCATTGCCCGCGGCTTCGCCCGCGTTCAGATGACCAAAAACCAATTTTTTAGGTTTTATATATTAGTATACTCTTACATTACAGTTTTGTACTTTTTCTCAGAAATGAGATATTTTGCCGCGGTGCAAAGTATCCTATATGTTGACCCGGATAACCAGCTATCACCATACAAATTTCATCAAAATCCCTCCAGTAGTTTTTTCTGGGATGCGGAAACAGACAGGCAGACAGACAGACGACAGACAGACATATAGATAAAACGTCATTCCTTAACCAAATACAAAATTAACTAATTATTATAAGCTCTCGACCGTCTCATCTCACTCACTATGTCATTCACGCGCTGAATAAAATCCAATATTTTTATACACACAAATATTTTTTTGCTAAGACAGCATTATTATTTACGACTATAACATATGTAAATTTTAGTCATTAAATACATTTTGGCTCATTTGTGGGAGAAGCTTACCTCGAAAACGTAAAATCCTAAGAGAATTATGCATTTTTAACCCATTATCTATTTCTATCTATGGATATATATGAATAAGAAGGTTAGGATATAGCAACAGATACTATATGTTATTGTGTGTAGTGGAATATAAAAGGATGCAGATGCGTTCTAGCCTCATTCTGTCCTGACAACTGTCGACAAGTGAAGCTAAAATGAAATCCTTTGTAAGTTGAATTTTATTATAACATCATTTTAAGTAATATTTTAAATATCTTTTTTTTTATTGTTTTATAAAAGATATCTAATATATAAAATTTTCGTGTCACAGTATTTGTAATAAAACTCCTCCGAAACGGCTTGACAGATTGTTATGAAATTTTGTGTGTATATTCAGTAGGTCTCAGTATAGGACGTAAACTATTTTTCATACCCAGTAAGTGATAAGGGTGATCCACCCTAGTTTGTATATAAAATCTAATCTTGTTTCCGCTTTTAAAAAGTAATTTCATTACAAAGTGAATAATTGTGTGGTTAATAAATGGGTTAGGTATAATTCAATAACAAGACATATATTTTAGAAAATTATATTAATGATTATTTTAAAAACACATTTAGTTCTTCTTTGTTAACCGATTTAAAAAAAATTTAACAAAAAAATAAAAACCGACTTCAAACAAAAGCACTAAAAAGTAAAAAATAACTGATGGCTAGTTTTCATTTACTATACATACCTAATCAAATATTTTCGAAGTCGGTGTGCTTTGGCTAAGTATTTAAAGCCTACCTATTAAATACATACCTAATCAAATATTTTCGAAATCGGTGCCAGCCCATACAAAGCAAAGCACACCGACAAAATTCCAAAAAATAAAAAAAAGTTGAAAATTAAAGTTAAACGGATTTCCTACAAATTTGTACATACACTCCTAAGAATTGAAGAGAATTATGAAGTGTGTTAACTTTCTTGTGAAACATTTAATTTTCCTTTCAGTTGGGTCTGATATTGGTAGCAGTGGTGCTGAGTGTTGCCTCAGCAGGACACATTCACGGCGGCTGGAACCCCGGCTACAGTTACAGTGCCCCCATTGTATACTCACGCCCTGTATACCCGAGCTACTATAGTGGCTGGTCTGGTAACGGCTGGAACAGTGGCTATAACGGTGGATGGAACAGTGGATGGAGAGGAGGATGGTGGTAAAGCATTGAAGAAGTTGAAAAAGTATTATAAATCGGTTCGGAATTAACTAAAGAGTATTTTATCTTTATTTGCTTGACATCTTAATATGTATGTATATGCATTTTTGCATTATTTTAAAAATACTTCCCCGAATCATAATAATTTCAGTGATTGATGTATTGAGATATATTTCTGTCACCATTCTGTACCTTATGACACTAAAAGTATCCTTTTTTTATACATATACTACTTTTTTATATCTCTTCTGCTTCCTAACTAATGTGCAATAAATTGATATAAAGTATATGTAGTTTTAAATTTTCTGCCTTAATATGAACGTAGCTATGAGTCTATGAAATATTGTATATTGCCTTATTTTTTAATTTTTATAATTTCCATTTGAATGATTATAACTTTATAAAAATGTGAAATTGCTCAATTTTAAAGTTTAGCCCTTTAAATGTCAATTACTTCTCTGTGATAATGTTATTTGCAATTTTAAAACCAGTTTGAATGTATATAAAATTATAATTTCTTATGTGAAGAAATGTGTTTTATTTATCACTGTACTTATATTATTAAATATTACGCATTTACAATAACATTTAAAATAATTTGCATTTAAAATAACTTCCTTTATAGGCCAAAATATTAGATATTAAATATTTATTTAGAACACACGTACATAAATTTTATATTAAAATAAAAATTATAATATTATAATGAAAAAATATAATAATTAATATAATAATAATTAATTATAATGAAAAAATATAAAAATATAAAATATAATAATTTAAGAATTTAAAAATGAATTGTTAATTGTAATATTAATACATATACGAAGCCTAAACTCAAAGTAGATTTATTCTGATTTAAGTGTGCATTACATAGATTTTATTTTAATCAAATTTTGAAAATAGTTATTTATATCAGTTCATAGAGAAGTTAGTTACCACAAGCTCATAAGTCAGGACATATGACCCCAGCTTTCAACAACACATTTACTTTATAGAGCTCTACCTTGTTCTGCGATTAATTTGGAATTTCATGAAGGGTTATATTTTATTTAGAAAATAAATGCACGTTTTAAATAATTAAATAATTGAACATCTACACAATACTTTCTTAGATTTACGCGAATATTTGACATTTTAAATAAAACTATCTTTTCGGATGTTTTCGCGGAAATTAACAAATAATATAAGGTACTTTGGTGCCATTTTTTATTTTTTATATTCATTTTTTTTCTTTTTGGTGAGGCTGTCTGTTACAACTATATAATGCTTTTAAGACATCTAAAACCTTAGTCTCTCCCGTGACCATGACTGCTGTAAAGCGTTCGAAACGTTGGTAACCAAAAATCAAAATAAATCCGTGAAAAAAATCCGAAAAGATAGTTTTATTTAAAATAAACATGTAAGTAACAATTCAAATTTATATATTAATTATATTATAAAATTTATTTTATAGTATATCAGATTCAAAAATTTATTTTACGGTTTATATCTTAATTAACATGCAGTAAACTTTATATCTTATTCTAAAGTAGACTCATTTAAGAATATTGCAAACCTTTCGAGAATATTAAATCATTTATTTCATCTCGGGAATTTCCGATTCATTCATTCACTTTGATATTTTTTACTGCGGTTTTGGGTTTCACTCGTAAACAGTTTACACAACACTAAATACCAATACTAAATGTAAGGCTCCTTGCCCAACGAGACCCAAAGTTCGCTTACACCTCTTCGTATTTCGATGGTCGATGACTCACAAATAAGCAACCGTAAATGTCATGACAGATAAATTGATTATGTATTTAGGACAATTCATTTATTATTATAATTAATTATTTATTTATAACAAAATGCATTTAAAGAAGATTAATAGAATATTTGTTAAATGTCATTGAGAATTGCCTTCAGTCCACTTTATCAAGAACCACCTACTTACTACAAGTATGTAATGAAATCTTAGATATTTATTTCAACCGTATTGTAAATTATTATCGTATTTATTTAAAAACAAAAGTGTAATACTTTCTTAGATTTACGCAAAAAATTAATATTTTAAATAAAACTATGTTATCGGATTTTGCCGTAGATTTATTTTGATTTTTAGTTTCCCGACGTTTCGAATGCTTTACAGCAATCATGGTAACGGGACGAAGGTTCTCTGTATTAACACAATTACATAATTATTTTGACGACACGTTTGGCTCTACGACTAAAACTGTAAAGGGGTTAATAAAAATTTATAATCTTTTTTTATGTCTCACGCTATGGAACCTTCGGTTTGCGAGTCATACTCACACTTGTCTAATTTTTTAACGTAATATCTAAAATATCCTACATATTTTTACATTTTCGATTAATTAGATATAATTCGATTTCAATACAAAAATAACTTAAAATTTCCAGCAACATTTGATAGTAATTGCTATACTCGTACATGGATATACGATACATTAACGATTAACATAACAGTTACAGATAATCTTTTCAACTTCAAGGGACCGTAATAAAACTAAGAACTATTTTTATCGCCCTTATTAGATGACTGGGTTTAAGGTCTAAAAAATAAAAAATCCACTCCAATTATAATAATATACATCCTTAGGTACTTTGAAAAAGATATCCAACTCAGTGTACTGAAGATGAATTATTCCATCCGGGAGCAGAGTAACTGGAGACAGCTGGTGGTGAGTACCTAATGGCTGGTGATGCATAACTGACAGCTGGAGCTGAATAACTTACAGCAGGCGCTGGACAGCCAATAGCAGACGCTGAATAGCGAATAGCAGGTTGTGAGAAGCTGATAACTGGAGCCGAATAGCTCGAAGGGGGTACAGAGAAACTGTACCCATTAGAAACGGAGGAAGAACTTCCTAAAGACAGGCCGTAGGAAGAAGCTTGTAATCTTTGAAGTATTTCTCGTACGTACCTAGATTAGATATCTTCGCCGTTTATAACCGAATTTAAAAGTTAAAAGACAGGAGAACCGCAATTAGAGTGATTTTTTTAAATTACGGGATATCTTCGGCCAAGTGTGAACAGATTAATTGAATAATCTTAATGTTAATATGTTGTTGTTATGTAAGTTTGTGACAATTTGTGTACAGTACTTGAGTACAGTTAGATTTTAGGTATAGAGAACCTATATACATTTACCTAAAATCTTTATAGCCTTGTAAATAAAAATCGTCTTGTTTTCTTTATGATGCAAGAAACATTATCCAAAAAAAATCCATCTGTAGGTTATGACGCTTTTCTTGTTTTCACACAAAAAATCTTGGATCTAAAAAAATTTAAAACTCAAAATCAATTTTTAGCTCGTTAAACTAAGCTTATTTTTTTAGAAAGTCATGTGCCTAAAAGTTTGTAGCAAAAGTGACGAATGACAAATCGACATTAGTCGACGGATAAATATCATCGGACGAATAATTTATATCTTAACTCTTGCAAACACTCGCTGGTTTGTGACATGCTAAAGTCAAATTGTATGTAACCATGATTTAAAAATAAATAAAAGCTTACAAATACAAGTATTTTACAAAACCATTACCAGAATTTAAAAGCTCTGTCATAAAATACGCAACGCTACTTTCGACATTGCATATTGAGTCCCATATTGGTGACAAATCCGATTCAGATTCTGCTAGCCTTCTAGTTAGGTCTTTTTTTCTTGAACCCTAAAACCACAATGATGTGCTTTACAGTCCAACGTTTTACAATTTTCAAGCGACTTCAAAAAGAAGGAGGTTCTCAATTCGACTGTATTATTTTATGTTTGTTACCTCAGAACTTCGTCATTTATTAACTGATTTGGACAATTTTTGTTTTGTTTGAAAGGGTATACTTCCAGATTGGTCCCATTTAAATTAAAAAAAAAATACCACCCCTAAGGGTGGAAAAATAGCTAATGATGAATTTAACCTACTTCTAATTGTCATATTGACTTGAAACTTTGCAAGTGTTTCTATTTCCGTTGATAGTACAGTGGTTCGGTATTGTCGACCTGATCTGATATTAAGGCCAGAAGGTGGATAGGTGGAACTCTTCAAAGACTAATAGCAAATACTTTGAGTTTGGGCTTATTTTGTTTGATTTGACAAGTCTAACACTTTAGAATTCTTGCTTTGCTACTACTGTCTACACTAAAAAGGGAAAAATAAAAACTTTCAAACAAAAAAATAAAAACCGACTTCAAACAAAAGCACTAAAAATTAAAAAACATCTGATTGGTAGTTTTCATTTACTATACATACCTAATCAAATATTTTCGAAGTCGGTGTGATTTGGCTAAGTAATTAAAGCCTACCTATTAAATACATATCTAATCAAATATTTTCGAGATCGGTGCCAGCCCATACAAAGCAAAGCACACCGACTTCGAATATATTTGATTAGGTATGTATAGTAAATGAAAACTACCAATCAGTTATTTTTTATTTTTTAGTGCTATTGTTTGAAGTCGCTTTTTATTTTTTGTTAAAAAGTTTTTATCCTTCGTTATTTTAAATATGAACAAGCGTTTACAATCAGAGCGCCGCTTGTATAATGACGACTCATTCGATATACCAGCGACATATTATATATACATTATACAAGGTTCTTTACAGATGCCAAAGACAAAAATTTCCCAATGTTCATAATGTAGTATCAAAATACTTAATATATTTCGTTTAAAACATCCAAATATTTAAGTTATTTGAATGAGATTATCAAAATTTAAATTTAAATAAACATTTTGAAATAACGAGGTCTTTCCAAGGCTTGACTGTTTGCATAAATGAAACATTATCTTAATTTTGAATAAAAACTATATACTAATTAAATTGCTAGAATTACAATTCTAAACGTTCAAATGTAAAAAAAAAACTTTTGTAAGTTTATTATATTTAACGTTATTCAAATTTAAGCAAGCAAAAAATAACAGGATCGGACTGGGAGGGAGTAAGAATATTTTTTTGTTGACAACGCCCCTGGGTCATGTTTGTTAATATGTTTTATTGTTTAAAAAATATATTTCACCTTGAAAAAAACTTTTTAACAAAAAAATAAAAACCGATTTCAAAAATGCACTAAAAAGTAAAAAATAACTGATTGGTAGTTTTTATTTACTATACATACCTAATTAAATATTTTCGAAGTCGGTGTGCTTTGCTTTATATGGGCTGGCACCGACTTCGAAAGTATTTGATTGGGTATGTATAGTAACAAGGTAAGTTATAACGATAAGTTTCAAGTCAAAATGACATTTAGAAGTAGTTTAAATTCATCATTAGCTATTTTTCTACCCTTAGCGGTGGTTTTTTTTTTGAAATTTAAATGGGACCAATCTGGAAGTTCTCAGGTAACAAACATAAAAAAACATACAGCCGAATTGAGAACCTCCTCCTTTTTGAGGAAGTCGGCTGAAAAGAATGAGTGGTCCACCACATAGATCGGGATATCCTGCTAATTAAAAAATAATTCAAATAACCTACTAACATATCACTTCTTACAAAAACGCGCTTATTACAAAAACGCGCTTATTACAAAAACGCGCTTATTACAACTAAAGCAGATGTGCGGCAATGTTAAGTGTTGACATTGACACCCGCGTTCACGATGACCCACTAACAAGGTAAAAACTAGTTTTTTGACTTATGATCTTCATTTGACACAAAATAGTGAAACATTTATGTATATTTTTGAACTACTTTTAATCATATGAAGTAAAGATTTCTTAAGAAATGCATATTAAAATAATTAAAAGAAAGTATTAATTAAGAAAAATAGACCGACTAATATTTTAAATTTATTATATTACAGTTCATACTTTGTCATATTTACTTATTAGATATTCATTAACCCGCGACGCAAAAAGAGGGGTGTTATAAGTTTGACGTCGATGTCTGTCTGTGTGTGTGTCAGTCTGTGGCATCGCAGCTCTCAAACGGATGGACCGATTTCAATGCGGTTTCATTTGAAAGCTAGTTTCCTTGCGGTGATTCTTTGTATCGGTCCAGCAGTGTAAGAGTATCAGCTCTTTTCCAAAATGATGTAAGGCATTTTGGCGTATCACTACTCGAAGTTTCGTTTCGAAGGGTATACTTCCCAGGTGGTCCCATTTAAATTTTATCGAAATCGGTCGAGGGGTTTTTAAAAAAGTCAACAATAAATATATTTTTTAAATAAATTGTTTAATCGAGTATGTTATTAAAAAACTTTCTTTTTACAAATTACCTGCTTATTACGTGTACACTAAAAATGGAAAAATAACTAAACGAGGGTTTTCATTTAGAATAGATACCTAATCAGATATATTCGAGTTGACCTAAAGCCTTTTTTCAACTTGTTGACTAGACTAAGATACCATGTATGGATTTTAGGCAAAAAATGAAGATGAAGATAGCTATTTTAATGTCTCCGTTTTTGAAGTTAAAACTTATTACGGCGTGACTCCCTAAGTCACGTAAGTATGTGTGACATTGGAAAAATGAGTGTCGCGGAACTGTGAGTCAAAATTATTAATAATATTTATTGAAAAAAATTATATAATAATTACTACTTATAAAAATGAATACTTATTAATAATGATTTTATAATAATTCATTATATTTTGATTTGTTTTAATTGCGGTATCTGCCACAGCGCCAAAGAAGTTTTAATTCAACCGCGCATAAAGGTTTACACGCACAAATTTTTTTTATAATTGTAAGAATGGCAAAAGAAAAGAGGTAAGTGTGGTAGCGCGTGCAAAGATTATGAAGTTCTACCGCACCCATCTTTCAATATATCGATAGATCCAAGCAAATGAGTTACATATGTATGCGTAAATAATTTTTGTGTTAATATAATATTAATCACTTTAATTTACTCTTTAAAATATGAAATCAAATGCGAAGAGTTATTGATAAAAACTGAGCTAATTTATAGTGAACTTTTGCAGTGTGACTGAATTTTTCATTAAAAAAAAAATAATTCTGAAAAAATTAAGGCCGACGTGCGAAATGCGTGCGAAGTGCGAATTTGTTGAAATAAATATCACGAACTCGTAATGTGCGAATACACTGTACAAGAAGTTTTCTCATTGGAAATATCGTACAAGAAATAATGTGAGAAAAAGCCATTATGAGAACTGGTGCGACATTTTTAATATCAAATAAATTAATTATACAGCATTTATTTCACTTTCTACCTCAAACTTAGATATATTCGACATTTTTTTCTACTGCTTATAAAAACTACGTTACAATTTTCACTTGTAATACTTAACCATTGTTTATGATAGCTATAAAATATTTAACATTAGCGACTCACCCTCGCTTCGCTCGGGTTCGTCCCTAGGTACATTTAAAATTGAAATGGATATAGTATGTTATCCTTAAGAGATAGACATATGTCATCGCGGACTTTTCTGTAGACCTATATAAGATACACAATTCCACCATACATTATTTTGTTATATCACAAAGGGTTTAGGCAGTGTTTTCGTTGAAAGCTCCCAGACGTCTTACTTTTTCCGGCACCTCCAGCAAATATCGTTATATTTTAGCCAATGTATACAAAAACTTAACAAATTATATACTAAAACTTTCCTTTGAATCACTCTATCTATCAAAAAAACCGCATCAAAATCCGTAGCGTAGTTTTAAGCATACATAGGGATATAGGGACAGAGAAAGCGACTTTGTTTTATACTATGTAGTGATACATTTCTTTATTGTGCCCTCAACATCACTAACGTAGCGGAGCTTTAACCGCTTTATTTACTTACTAAGAAGAAAATTTATGTAGAATAAATCTCAATTTACATCACAATTACGTAAATCACATCGTCATTTCAACATTTCTTTGAAGATTTCGAGGTTTAGAAAGTTTTGAAAAATCATAAATTAATTATTCAAATATTGACTTGGGAGTGTTCGGACAGACTTGCGACATGTTTAAGCTTAAAGAGATATATATGGTTCGCGGGTCTCTATGGGACATCACTTATCCACTAGCCGAGTAACGAGTTATCTATCTATGTAATACAACGATGAAGATCTTTGTAAGTTGTAAAAATAATGTTGACGACACGTTTGGCTCAATGTGTAGTGACCCTACTTGCTGTGGCAGCGGCCGCGGGTTCGAGTCCCGCTTAGGGCATTCATTGTGTTATGAGCACGAATGTTTGTGCTCCAGTCATGGGTGTTTATATTTATATTTATGTATGTATTTAAAGTTTATATATGTGTAGTGTATCAACTATCTGGTATCCATAACACAAGACTCGTAGCTTACCATGGTACTAGATGGTGCTGTGTATAATTAATGTCCAAAAACAAAAAATGCCACATTAGCTTTTGACTACATTTGAAAATGGATACGTATTACATGTGTCTGTCTGTTCTAAGATTATTTGTAGGTTTAAAAAAAATGGATTAAGTAAACATTTTACATTTCATCGATTAGTCCTTCCATGTACAAAATTATATTATATTTTTTTATTTCAGATTGTAATTTGTATTCTGGTTGCCGCCGCTGACGCTGGGAATATAACTGAAATTATTCAAACCATAAGAAACTTGCAAGCAGCTTCCGGTGGAAATCCGGGAACCGATGAGAATTTACTTGAAATTATTCTAACCTATAAATCCTTGAGAGATCAGAAGAAAGCCCAGTCCTTAGGAAGTTCTTCCTTCAACTCTAATGGATACAGCTTCTCTGCACCCCGTTCGAGCTATTCGGCTCCAGGTATCGGCTACTCAGAGCCTTCTATTGGCTATTCAGCGCCTGCTTTTGACTATTCGGCGCCTGCTGTAAGTTATTCAGTACCAGCTGTCAGTTCCAGTTATTCAGCTCCCGCATTAAGCTATTCATCTCCAGTATCTTACTCAGCCCCAGCACCCAGCTACTCAGCGCCAGCTGTTAATCTTGGTGGCTGTAAATCATGTCAATTAGCAGGTATTTCATCACAAATAAGTGGTATATCCGGAGGATATGGAGGCGACTACGCCAGTGGCTATGCTAAGAGATGGTAAAATCTATGAACTCTAGTCAATCTTTGTGATTAATTTTAAGTATATTGTATATTTTTTTAATAAATATTTTTAATTATTTTGATTATGTTTTAATTAATTAATCCAGTCAGCTGTCACAACTTTAAAGAAATGAAAATAAAAATAAAATCAAAATAAATCCGTGAAATAATCCGAAAAGATAGTATTATTTAAAATGTCTCTTTACTAAATACTTTTTATTAGTAAATATTTTTAAATTGAAGTCTTTAAAGTAGCAACGTATATTATGGTACAAAAAACATTTAAACACATATTATTTGTTATATATTGGTCAGAATGTTATTAACTTGATTATCCAACAACGTAAAATGATCTGCTACGTTTTATAAACTCAAGCACCGATTGACAAATATAAAACCGTTATTTGAATATAAAATACATATAAATATGTTGGGACATTATTACACATAGCACTATCTAGTTCCATGGTAAACTACGAGGCTTGTGTTATGGATACCAGATAGTTGATACACTATATATATATATATATATATATATATATATATATATATATATATACTATCTGGTACAAACATTCGTGCTCATCACAGAAATGAATGCCCCCAGCGGGACTCGAACCCGCCACCGCTTGTTCAATAAGTAGAGTCATTACAAACTGAGCCAAGCGTGTCGTCAAGTCATATTTCACAATATTATTAAAAAAAATACAAAAAAAAACCTGATCTACTTCAATAATTTAAAAAAATATAAAACCAACCAGCCAGCCAGTTGCAATTAAATTTTTACCATTCTTACAATGTTGATTGTTTAGCACTATTAGTAATTACATACGAGTAATACTTAGAACTACATCTGAGTGTGACAAATAAGTTGACTGTAGAGTAGTGAGCCGCCTAGAGTTTGCTTCGATAAATATTAGTATTAAGCACTTGCTATTATTAATTACACTCATTGATGGTGTAACATAAGTACTATATTTTTATAGATCCGCTTTCACTTTTACAATTTTAGGATAATTTGTGGATATCCGTTTTACGATTAAGCTTAATTTTTAGAAAAATATAAAATTCACGCAAAACTAACTGGTTATAAATATTGAAAATGTACATTGCAAATTCTCGTTTAGTATGTTTGCTATTAAATATTTGCTCTTAGACCAATCGTTGTCGACTCATATCCGTTAAAGTGGCCTTGAACCTTCGTAATTTTACAGGTTGCCTTGAGAGCGTGGGACCGCTTTTTGTCAAGGTACCATAAAAGTAATATATCAATACAAAATATTGATCTATATTAATACTCTCATAGATTTACGCGAATATTTGACATCTATCTTTATAATATAAAAATGAATCGCTTAATGTGTTGGTAAACGTAAATCTCGAGAGCAGCTGAACCGATTTCGAAAATTCTTTTTTTTAAATATTCCTTGAAGTACGAGAATGGTTCTTACAGAGAGAAAATTTAAAAAATTGCCTGGAAAAGTCTAAAAACAACACTTTTCTATACTCCCATACAAAAGATTCGTAATCATACTTAAAAGTCAATTTGAACTTTAATACCGTACCATAAAGTTTAAGCGTTAGTGGAGGGATTCCGGGAAGGCAAAACAATTGAGTGAAGTTAGTATCCTATAAATATTAATGTATATAAATAAAAATGAATGTTGCTAAGTGCAAAACTCAAGAACGGTTCGATCAATTCAGCTAATTTGTTTTCGTGTGTTCCTTAAGGTAAAAGGAAAGTTTTAATATAAAGACAAAATATATAATAATTTTTACCCCACCCCACTTACATGAGAGCGAGGCCTCCGGTAAACATCTCCTAAACCTACAATATCTCAATCTGTACTAGGTAAGTATAAATAATAATTTATTAGGTATATACCAAAGAAATCAGTCACACGGCTATATTACGTGTGCAAAAATTACACAGTATGCCGTTATAACCGGTAATAACGATAGCACTTACCACTAGATCTTTAAGGCTTTACTCATTATTGATGTAAACTATATACTTGAGTTACAAAACCATCTAAAGTACCGTCATTGACATAAAATAATCGTTAAACCTTTTACAAGCCATAAATAAAATTGATCTTCTGTATTTTTATAAATAAATATACCTATACATAAAATAAAATACTTTGAGGTTGTGTATATATTTTTGTTGTATCCACTGATAGGGTTAAATTAAATTAATTATCTGTTTCTCAGACTATGGGTATTTAATATTTATACACAGACTTAACAATTATACCTATAGACGAGCCCCCCAAAAAAATTGTCAAAGTCAAAAATAGTAGTGTCTTTTGCTATTTATGCTATTATTCTCGATTTTGCTATACATATCGCTTACTTTCTTTGAATAATAAGGTTAATTTTATATTACTCGCAGAACCGGCGGCTATGCCCGCGTTCAATCTACAAAAAAAACTCTTTGGCTTTATGTTATACAGCTACTCACCCTCGCTTCGCTCGGGTTCGTTGCTATGTATTTGTATAATATTGTTAAAAAAAGCACTAAAATAGCCATTAAAAAATGGGGGTTAAGGGTAAGGGGGTGAAAAATACTTTACGACCTATACTCATACCTTTTTTTAACGTCAGGAAAACCCTGTTCCCGGGTACCCGTCCGCCTGGGGAACGGGTTATGTGGGACTCCTGCCGCGCAAAGATGGTAAGCGCGCGGTGGCTTACCCACTAAAAACCTGACGAAAGGCCACTTTATCGCCACAAGGCTAGAGTCACACGTATCCGGATTCATCTGTAAACCCCAGCAGCCCTATACTCATACCTACCTAATATACAAAAAATATCATTAAAATTGGTCGAGCAGTTTCGGAGCAGTGTTACCACAAACACCGTGACACGAGATTTTTATATATTACGTTAATCGTTTATTTACAATTTTTGAGAAAATATGAATAATAAAAATATAATATTTTGATATTTTAAAAGCATTAGTTCTCTTCCCTTGAAAAAGGGATAGCATAATATTAGCTTTTTTATTTATTAACATTTATTTATTTATCAAAGTAGTAAATATTCTATTAATATTTTTATCCTGTTTAAAAACAAATATAATAAATAAATAATAATAATAATAATATAATATAATAAATATAATATATATATTATTTTAATTCATCACTGTTTGGCTTCAAATTTAGTTCTATGAGACTCTGACTTTATTATTCTTTAGTAATCTTAAAATAGAACAATATGTTATGAAATGTGTATTAAAGAATACTTTATAATAAATATTTTTGTTCAAGATAACATATCTTGGGAATAATGTGATCGCCTCGGGCTATTTCAACATTTGATAAATAATGTAATTTGTAATTTTATATAAGATATTACAAAGTTTGAGCTTGTTTCATTTTATTTCGACAGTTTTCCCCATCACTGAGACATTGTCTTCCCGAATTTTAGCTCATGTTCAATAAAATTAATATAATTTAGAAAATGAAACAACGCTACGTAAATCTCATTATCTCTGTCGTGAAAGTAAAAAAAGCACATAACATAAGAACTTGTAAACTAAAAGTTTAAAGTACATAGCCAATAAAAATTAATTTAATATAAAATGTAACCTTTATATAATTTAATATTCATCAAATTGTATTAAATGGGCAAAAAAGTAATTGTGCAGTTAAGAGGCGCGGCAGATCTGGTTCTTGTACTCTTTCGACACGTCCGTCCCAATGACACCAGTTTGTGTGCAAACGGTATGAGACATCAACTGCGGACTTTCATATAACAGCCAAAAATCGTTCGCATCTAAAGTGTCTTCTACAAAATAATTATATGATAAAATCAATTACATAAAGTGCCATAATTGATTTTGTTAAAATATGCAAAAAACTTTCGCAAGGCAAAGGAATTGCCAGGATGCGACTGAAATAGCAAAACTATCAATTATTCTAAATATACTTATTATTCTAATTTTGATCATAAGCTTATAGGAAGCACTTCTCTCAGAAGTTAAAATTTTAAATAATGAATCTTATGTATTTTATATGAATTTATGGCATTTTCAAATTGACATCTTATGAAAAAATATATTAAAATAAAATATATATTAAATATAAAATATGTAAAAACATGGAGATAATTTAAATATAACCATTATTTTTCGTAGCTTGAGAGTATAAGATGCTAAATTCATTCTGCGTATAGAATAATTTAGAAAGAATGCCTAAGACCACTAATTTTAAAAAAAAGTTAATAATTCATTGAATAAGGTCTTATTCAACTGTATTCAACGAATGCTTAGGATTTTCCTATAAGACATAAAACTGATATTACACAACATATTATATGGCATTTATAGTAATAATCTATAATATTTAATATTAATATGACATTAATAGTGATGTAAAAAATTAAAAGTTGCAAAAATATTAAAAAATATTGTATAGAAGGTCAAACATATCGAACACTTTTATAAACAAGTATTTCGAAAACTTGTGCAATAATTTTATTCATTTTACTCAGATTAACTTTATTTTTCTATTAATTCTAAGTGAATGTCCTGATCAGTTAACCATCACCTAAGCCAAGTCGTTAAACCTTGAGAGCTAGAACTTGGACTATTCCCATATAAATTTAGACAAACCCCTAATATTCCTCAGGGCTGAAAAGGAATGGAAAAGTTTGAATAGATAATATTTTACTGGAGTTAAATATATTTTTTTCTACATTACCTTTATCAATGACTTGTCTTACAGTGAAGGAAATCATCGTAAAGAAACCTGCATGCTGAGAGAATCTAGCAAGTTGTCGAAAGACATGTGAAGTCCACGAACACGCACTTTGCCAGGGTGGTGAACTATAGCTGATCCTCCTCATAATGAATAAGCCTGTGTCCAGTATTGGGACGTCACAAAGGGCTAAATACATTACACGCAAATTAAAAATCAAGCAGCCTGACGAGGCTGGAAAAGATTACTAGTAATATAAAAAAGGTATGCAACATTATAACAGTTAGTCATAAAAGGATGATCACTTAATTCGGGCTTATATCTTTTTGTGTATATATTCACCTTGTTCAAATCACCTAGAAATTGTAAATGTGAAAGCTTGTGTATGTGTGAATTTGTGTTTATTTCTTCCCGACTTAAATCTGGATTTAAAATATTATAATATATTTCATCGACAAACCTATCGTGTAGCAAAGGCACCAGCCATACGGTGCCAGCCCATATAAAGCAAAGCACACCGACTTCGAAAATATTTGATTAGGGATGTATAGTAAATGAAAACTACCAATCAGTTATTTTTTACTTTTTAGTGCTTTTGTTTACAGTCGGTTTTTATTTTTTTGTTAAAAAGTTTTTATTTTTCCCTTTTTAGTGTAGACAGTAGTAGCAAAGTAAGAATTCTAACGTATTAGGCTTGTCAAATTAAACAAAACAAGCCCAAACTCAAAGTATCTACTATTAGTCGTTGAAGAGTTCCACCTATCCACCTTCTGGCCTTACCATCAGATCAGGTCAATAATACTGAACCACTGTACTATCAACGGAAATAGAAACACTTGCAAAGTTTCAAGTCAATATGATAATTAGAAGTAGGTTAAATTCATCATTAGCTATTTTTCCACCCTTAGGGGTAGTATTTTTTTTTTAATTTAAATGGGACCAATCTGGAAGTAAACACTTTCAAACAACACAAAAATTGTTCAAATCGGTTAATAAATGACGGAGTTCTGAGGTAACAAACATTAAAAAAAATACAGTCGAATTGAGAACCTCCTCCTTTTTTAAGTCGGTTGAAAAGGTAGGTTTCATACAAACTTTCATGCCCTATTTTACCCCCTTATGGAATGAATTTCAACACGTATTTATTTATTGGTAATGAAGAACATTAATACCAAGTTTTAAGTAATTCTGATCATAAATATTTTGTTGGGTTCTATTATAACGTGTTTTCCCGCGGAAATGAGATCATGTCCCGTGGTTAAAAGTAGCCTATGTCACTCTCCAGCCCTCCAACTACTCCACACAAAAAATCACGTCAATGCGTCACTCTGTTTTGACGTGAAAGAAGGACAGACAAACAAACAAACAAACAAACAAACAAACAAACAAACAAACAAACAAACAAACTAACTAACTAACTAACACACACACTTTCATATTTATAATATTAGTATGGATTAAAGAAACAATAAAATTAAACAGTTCATTAGGATTATAATTTATGATAGGGGCGCAGAAGCTTCAAAGCTTCAAGGGCAAGTTGCGACAGCCGTACTTACCAAAATCTGCAGCACTACATATATATACGCTGAGCGAAATATTACCACTCATACCTCGACACTCGCTATTACCAACATGAAAACTTTTGTAAGTACAATATAAATCTACATCCCGAGAAAACTTTTTGCTCTAATATATTAAATAGCCCACGTACATATATCACTCTTTGACCAATAAACTTTTTTAACATCAATAAGCACGTTGATCAGACACTCTTCTACATAAAATTAAAGAAAGGAACCATTTAGCATTTAAGCTCTTATAGGGCTTAAAGCATATCTTACTAAGCTTTCACATTACTCTCGATTAATTAACACTTATCCAAAATTATTGAAATGTTTTTTAATATATTTACTAAAAAAGATGTTTTAAAATATGTTACTTTTAAATTTAATCATAATTGGAACAAGGATAATGTTTCATAACAATATTCATCTACAAAATATATTTGTTAGCTTATATATATATATATATATATATATATATATATACATATATATATATATATATATATATATATATATGTATAGCTTAACTAATCGGTGTGTATATAGAACGAATAATTTAATACTAAACGTGATTTATATACATATATAATGATTAATATATATATACTTATTTTATACTACTCCCTCGTTAGTCTAGTATCTAACATGTACGGCTGCAGATCTGCGGTCCTAGGTTCGAGTCTAAGACAAGGCCAAGTATATTTATTGGATTTTACTATGACTGACGTATTTAATATAAATTTTTAGATAAGTCAGCCACAGAAATACTATCTATAATATAAATGAGAAATGGTAAAGAAGAGAAAGCGTCTAAATAGCAAAGTACATACTTGTTTTGTAATTATATTAATAAGTATAGTTTTAGTTTAATTCTACTTTTTTTGTAAATAATTCCATAAATTATATAAAAATAAAATGTTTATTATCTAAAAAATATAAACAATATACATACATTTTACATATTTAATATGTTTCATTACAGGTAATAATCTGCGCCCTTGTGGCTTGCGTTGCAGCTGGTAGTGAAAAGCGCGATAAGCGTGGTTTCCTAAGTGGTATCCACTCAATTGGAGGATACGGTGGCGGGCTTGGCGGATATAGTGGCGGATATGGCGGATATAGTGGCGGATATGGCGGATATAGTGGCGGATATGGCGGATATAGTGGCGGATATGGCGGACATAGTGGCGGATATGACGGATATTCTGCACCTGCCAAAGTCATCTCAGTTAAGAAAGTGGTGAACACTCATCATATAGTTGATGTGCCCCAAGTTGTAAAAGTACGCAAAGTTGTATCCGTACCTCAAGTAGTGTCAGTGAAGAAAGTAATAGCCGCCCCCAGCTACAGCATTGGCCACGGCTCCGGATATGGATATAATTCCGGATATGGTTCAGGATATGGCTTGGGATATGGTTCTGGATACAATTCCGGATACAGTTCCGGCTACGGTTCTGGATATGGTTCCAGCTACGGCTCTGGTTGGTGGTAATCTAGACGCCGGACTATTTTTAGGAATATTTTTAAATTTAAATATACGATCTATTTAATTTTGAAATAAATATGTTTGTTTGGTATATACATTTTGTTTTTACTTTTCATTAGATTTTTACAAAATAGTAATAGTTGCGTAATGACTATTTCTCTAATATTAATTAAAAAGACGTTATAATAATCAAGGGCGGATCTATATATAGGCTTTTTGGGCTGCAGCCCAGGGCCCCTAAAATATAACGGACCCCCTGTTAAAAACAATGGATGATATTGTCAATTTATAACAAAAAAAATTATCAAAAAAAATAATAAGACCATAAGTTAAAGTCGGCTTAATAACAATTAATTTGCGTAGGGAGTTTTTGAATTTTTTAATTTATAATTATATTTGCATAAACAACAGTCTAAAAGCTATTGTAGAGTCAAAATGATAGAATCGTCGTATATTGTCGTTAGTTTATTCTTCGATACACCCTTGAAAACAATAAAGGTAAAGGAATATATTAATAAGAAGAAAGTAAGTAACTTAACGTCAACAGATAACGTTTATATATATATTGTAGAAGTTGAAAGATAGGAGAGTGAGGAAAACGTATAAAAGGCAGCGCCAGCGCCCGGCGCTCGCTTTTGCTGTTCGGCTGTCATCGGGTCAACATCTCGGCAACGTCATTCTGTCCGTCAGGTTTTTCGTTAGATTGTTACGTAATTGTTGTAATTGTTTTAGAGGTCTTACATTTTTAGTTTTCGTTTCATTTAATTTTGGTTTGTTAAAATTAATTGTTTTCAAAGTAAATTTGATTTGTAAATTGTTTTCTTGAGGGTAGTAATAAATTTGTATTAAAAAAAATAACTTCTGGTCTTATTTCTAAGATCAGAAGTGGGATAGGTCTCATTTAGCCCACTTCATTTGTTGTTTTACTGTTGTTGATTGATTTTCTTAGTTCTGATTTTTTGTTTCTTTGTTTACGTTCTATTTTCGCGAGTGTACAAGTTAGTTGCAATATTTGGTGGTGGTTAGTGAATACATAGGTATTTGTGTAGTGATTGTGTTTACTAATAGGTTTTGCGATTCTGTTTTTATTTCGATTTAGTTACAATGTCAGATCGTGAGCGTGATCGTAGTGCGAGCCGTCGCGGTAGTCGCAGCCCCAGTCATGAGCGTCGCAGTGACCGTGATCGGAGTGATAGTAGACGTCGTGAACGATCTCCTGACGAGAATACTCGGTTGAGGCTCGAAATGAGAACAATGATAGCTCGTCTTAGTGCGTTAGAAAATAAGTCTAGGGCTACATCTATTCCAGCGCGTTCGAGTGAGCACATGGCGGGTTCTAGTGTTCGTGATGTGTTAGTGTCAGAAAATGTGCAAGATAGATCGCCATCGCGGCGCCGGCAAACACGATTGTTAGGGCGCAATATCTCGCGATCGCCTGATCGCACGGTTTCACGTAGTGTACGTCGTCCGTTGTCGCCGCGGTGTAGGTCAAGATCCCCTAATAAGTATACGACATCGCGGTCGCGTGACCACGTGTTGCCTACTCGAGAAGTTAGTCAACGCCGACGTTCTCGATCCAGATCGCCACGTCGTGGTAGCGAGGTGGATGCGTCGATGCATTCTACCATTACTGATCGTATTGTAGATGTGATTAATTCTATTAATAACGCGGGTAGATTTAGCCAACACTTTTACATTTCTAATTTCGATCCCGACCTACACAACATTGATGATTGGTGTGCGGAGGTAGATCGAGCTAGGGCCCTCAATAACTGGAACGATTTTGAATGCCTTTCGCGAATCGGTAATTGTTTAAAGGGTGATGCACGATTGTGGTTGAACGAGTGGGTAACAACTGATCGTACATGGAGTAATTTTAAAAAGGAATTTAGGCCATTGTGTCCGAAAACACCTGATATCGCGGGTATTTTAGCGGAGGTAATTAACACGAACTCCGATAAGTACACTACTTATGCGGACTACGCACGCCGTTCCTTACTCCGCTTACGTATAGTACGTGGGTTGAGTGACGAACTGATTTCGGCTATAATCATACGCGGTATTACTGATCCTAATATTCGTGCGGCGGCAACAAATGCCAAACTGCTACCAAACGATTTAGTTGAATTTTTCTCGATTTATGTTAAGCCGGTGAACAATTCGAAAAGTTCTATGTCGCGTTCGGTTCCGTATAATAGAACCAAAGATAAACAGAGCTTTGACGTTGCTAGACGACGTAGTAGTGATATAAAGTGTTACTTGTGCGGACAGTTGGGGCATAGGCAGGCTTCGTGTACTAAACGACCTAGAGTTGATAGAGGCTCGAGCAGTTCTGCAGCCACTTCTAATTCCGCGACTCCGAAGCCCGCTTTTGTGCCGACTAGATACGAACCGTGCTCGTTTTGTAAGAAACCAGGTCATAAAGAGGACACTTGTTTCGCCAAACAACGGTCCGATGTAGCAAGCAAAGATACAGTTAATTTTTGTAATTTGTTGGTGACTGCTAACAATAGCGACGTAGTGGTAGCCGTTGTTCAGGACATCCCTGTAGATGTCCTTATTGATAGCGGTTCAACTGTATCGCTGATTGCTTCCTCTTTGCTGAAATATTTTAACTGTCCGCGAAAGCCAGGTCTTCGAATTTTGAAGGGTTTAGGTAGTCAGGAAGTGGAGAGTACCTCCTATGTTACTTTGCCGATTGAATTCGATGGTTTAACTCTCGAAGTAGATTTGTTCGTCGTGTCATCCGAATACATGAACGTCCCGGTTATAGTAGGTACGGACGTCTTAAATAGAGACGGTGTTAAGTACGTTCGCACTAAGGGTCGTCAGTCACTAACTAGGGTTAATAATTGTTTAGATCAAGTAATGACGATTCAGTCTAAAGCTATTTCAATTAATACACCTCTCGTTGGTATTGAGTTACAAAGGCTGCTACAAATAGTTAATGACTTTTCAACATTTTTTATTTCCGGTACTGCTACTTCGACAGTAAATACAGGGTGTATGTCGATTAAATTAAATTCCAGTACCCCAGTTTACTACCGTCCGTACCGTCTTTCACATGCCGAGACGCTTCGTGTTCGTGAAATAATTAAAGAACTGTTGGACAAAGGCATAATTGAGGAATCTGAGTCGGAGTACGCAAGCCCTATCCTTCTTGTCAAAAAGAAAGACGGGACGGATAGGATGTGTGTAGACTTTCGTAAGCTCAATGATATTACGGTTAAAGATCGGTTTCCATTACCGCGGATTGATGACCATATAGACCGCTTAGGACACAATAGGTACTTTAGTAGTCTAGACATGGCTACTGGATTTCATCAGATTCCACTGGACCAGGACTCGGTGCCGCTAACTGGATTTGTCACGCCAGAGGGACATTATCAATATTTGAAAATGCCTTATGGTTTGGCAAATGCTCCGGTAGTTTACCAGCGAATCATCACTAAAACACTTCGCGAGTTCATTGAATCTGGCGATATTCTTGTTTACATTGACGACGTCCTTATTTTAAGTAGGACCGTGGATCAGGGTCTAGTTCTGCTCCGCAAAGTTTTGAGTGCATTAACTAGAGCCGGTTTTTCAATAAATTTGAAGAAGTGTTCTTTCTTATCAACTCAGATCGAATACTTAGGGCGTACAATTTGCGAAGGTCAGGTTAGGCCGAGTCACGAAAAAGTTAGGGCTTTGGTTGACACACCTGAACCGCAGAATGTTAAGCAGGTTCGTCAGTTCATGGGTTTAGCCAGCTATTTTAGACGTTACATAGCTGACTTTGCCCAGAAAACTGCTTGTATTGCCGCGTTAACTAAACAGGGTGTGAACTTTAACTGGGGATTAGAACAACAAGCTGCTCGAAAGTACATTGTTGAATGTCTGACGAGTGAGCCAGTGCTTGCTATATATGATCCTTCATTGCCAATAGAGGTCCATACGGACGCGAGCTCTATTGGTTATGGAGCTGTTTTATTACAAGTACACGAAGGTAATCGTAAGCGAGTGGTATCTTACTTTAGCAGACTTACACAGGGAGCTGAAGGTAAATACCATTCGTATGAACTGGAGACGCTGGCTGTAGTTAAGGCTCTCCAGTATTTTAGGCATTATCTTGTGGGTTTACGCTTTACTGTGGTTACCGACTGCAATGCGTTGAAACTTACCCAGCGTAAGAGAGACTTATTGCCTAGGGTGGCCCGGTGGTGGGTGTACCTCCAAGACTTTGATTTTGTCTTACAATATCGCAAAGGTACCCTTTTGTCCCATGCCGACTATCTTAGTCGAAACCCAGTTAACATGGTTACCATTCAAAAACCTCTGAATTGGGCTCAGATTGCTCAGGCTTCTGATGAAGAGACCCGGTCCCTTATTCAGAAATTATCAGATAGACAATTGGATCCTTCTCGCTACGAAGTTAGGAACGATGTACTTTACTTCAAGTATACACCTACAGGTGAAAATCCTAAAATGTTGTGCTTTATTCCTAAAGGCCACAGACTCAGCCTTTTACGTATATTCCACGATGAACATGAGCATCCTGGGGTAGAAAAGACAGTGGATCTTATTATGAAACACTTTTGGTTTCCGGGGTTGAGAGCTTTTGTTTCCAAGTACATAACGCATTGTTTGGTGTGCCTCTCATACAAGAAAGTTGCCCGCGCTCCCCTACAGCCCATTCATTCCTGGGAGAAACCAGACGTGCCCCTTGATACGATTCACATGGATGTACTAGGTCCATTGCCTGAAGCTGACGGTTATCGTTATGTTCTCATCGTTATCGATGCATTTTCAAAGTTTTGTCTATTGTACCCAATGTATCGACAAGATACTGACGAGTTAAAGCGACATTTCACCAACTTCATTTCCCTTTTCGGAACACCCAAGCTAGTCGTAGCTGACAGAGGCCGAATGTTCCAATGTACCGACTTTATCAATTGGGTCAAAGACATGGGTGGTGACACGCACCTGATCACGCCTGAAATGCATCAATCCAACGGGCAGGTGGAACGTTACTGTCGCACGGTGCTCAATATGGTGCGCATAGAGTGCAATTATCGACAGCGGAAGTGGCCGCATGTGATGTGGAAGTTGCAGTTGATCCTCAATATCACTAAGCATAGTACAACTCAGAATTCAGCCCTAAGCTTGTTGATTGGTATTGATGCTGCAACACCACTCATCCGGAGTCTGGTCCGTGACGTCGCTGTTGAGGGTTCCAGCCCGAACAGGGAAGCCCTACGTGAAATGCGTCGCCAGAGAGCATCTGAATTACTGCGTTCGAATCAAGAGCGTCAAGATGCATACGTTAACCAAGGTCGTAAGCCGCCTCGTACTTTTGAAGTCAACTCATTGGTTTTTGTTAGAAAACAGGCACAATCGACTGGGAAGCTGGATTCCTGTATGCGAGGGCCCTACCGCGTGGTGAAAGTTCTTCCCCACGGTCGCTATGAGCTTCAGCTCGTGGCCGGCTCGTACGGGAAATCAACGCAAGCGGCTGCGGAATACATGATTCTGTGGCAAGGAGAGTGGACTCCCGATGTGTGCTCTGCTATGTTTAATGGTGGGTTAATTCATTCATTTTGGCATTTAGTTAATTCATTTTTATTTGAGATTTTGTGGACATGTCTATGCCGGGACCTCTGTCTACTGTTACGTTTAATTTGTAACTTTTTCTGTTTTTTTTGTGAAAGTTTTTTTTTTTAGGGTTGTTGTGCTTTGTTTGTGTGCTCGGACACTGTCTTGGAGTTGCTCAGACATGTGGTCCTGGAGCTGTGTACACGCAGGGTCATGCCACGAGTTGGCCTCTGACGAGTCGTGGTGTGTGTGGCATATGTCTGCGGGGCAGACATTGTCCGTGGTTTTATTGTTGTTAGTTTGAGTTGAAACATGTTTTTATGGGTACCGATTCACACATGCAAAGTTATGTCTCATGTAAGTCCGCATAGACCTCTATCGAGTCATGAGGGTGCACTCCCCCGACGGGAACTGCCCCGGGTGATTGGTACTTATATTTGTATGTTTTATATCCGCTGTGTTTAGACTGTTCTATTTTGTCAGTTTAGCTTACAAGTACATAAAGTTGGATGATAACCTTTTGCGCTGACTAACAATTTTCTAACTTGGATAATTTCCTTTTGTGAATTTATTCTGTGTTGTTATTTCGTTTTGTGCAGATGCAGAGGACGAGGAGTCGACAGCTCCTAGCGTTACCCAGCCTTACAATGTTGACGTTCCTGGTGACGCGAGTGAGCCGCAACCTAGTACGTCAGGGACGCAGATACATGGCGAAGAGCCTGCTGCGTCACCCACCTTCACGTCGAGCGATGACAGCACAGAGCCTTCGATGCCAATGCTGGAGACTAATCTCCAGAGTTAGAAGATGGAGGAGTCCGAGGGCGGTCTCCCGTCAGGAAAGGCCGTGTAGAAGTTGAAAGATAGGAGAGTGAGGAAAACGTATAAAAGGCAGCGCCAGCGCCCGGCGCTCGCTTTTGCTGTTCGGCTGTCATCGGGTCAACATCTCGGCAACGTCATTCTGTCCGTCAGGTTTTTCGTTAGATTGTTACGTAATTGTTGTAATTGTTTTAGAGGTCTTACATTTTTAGTTTTCGTTTCATTTAATTTTGGTTTGTTAAAATTAATTGTTTTCAAAGTAAATTTGATTTGTAAATTGTTTTCTTGAGGGTAGTAATAAATTTGTATTAAAAAAAATAACTTCTGGTCTTATTTCTAAGAATATATATATGGTTTTGTTGTTGCTGGTGTATATGAAATGGAAAATCCATTTCATAATGGTAAATTTAATGAGCTCCCGATATTAAATATTAAAAACATTCCTTTATAAGTGATAATCTAAAAAATCCAAAAAAATGTCTTTCATCCAGCTGTGGTGCCTTAAAACGGTTGAATTATTTTCGTATTATTAAAAATATTATTATTATGACACATTTTATCCTGCGAAAAGAAAACCCCTAGTCTTGGTTTCATCCAACTTACAATTAATTATTAATTGAAGTATATTATTTGTTATTCTTTTATTTTTTATTCTTTGGATTTATTTTGATTTTTGGTTCCCGACGTTTCACTGCCAGATGTTTAATAAGAAAGTATTATCTTACTTATATATATTGCATTATATAAATAATTCCATAAATATATTAAAAGTCCCCTAAAAACTATTCGAAAATATTTGATGAGGTATGTATAGTAAATGAAAACTACCAATCAGTTATTTTTTACTTTTTAGTGCTTTTGTTTGAAGTCGGTTTTTATTTTTTTGGTAAAATGTTTTTATTTTTCCCTTTTTAGTGTAGACAGTAGTAGCAAAGTAAGAATTCTAAAGTGTTAGGCTTGTCAAACCAAACAAAATAAGCCCAAACTCGAAGTATCTACTATTTATCGTTGAAGAGTTCCACCTATCCACCTTCTGGCCTTACCATCAGATCAGGTCAACAATACCGAACCTCTGTACTATCAACGGAAATAGAAACACTTGCAAAGTTTCAAGTCATTATGACAATTAGAAGTAGGTTAAATTCATTATTAGCTATTTTTCCACCCTTAGGGGTGGTATTTTTTTTTGAAATTTAAATGGAACCAATCTGGAAGTATACCCTTTCAAACAAAACAAAAATTGTCCAAATCGGTTAATAAATGACGAAGTTCTGAGGTAACAAACATAAAAAAAGTACAGTCGAATTGAGAACCTCCTCCTTTTTGAAGTCGGTTGAAAATAATATTAATCGTCCTGAAGATTACCGTGCATAAATCATCAACGAGACGATCAAAACAAAGTTAACGATATAAATTACAGATATTATAAAAAAAATAACTTGACGCACTTTTGGAATTTTAATATAAAATGTGACAAAAATGATCTAATTCAATTTTGGCTTCTTTTTAGAAATTATATTATAAGTATGCATGTATGTATTTTCTGATTTTCGTGAAAATAAATAAAAAAAATTATGCAAAAGTAACTTATACCACTTTCTCAGTAAAATGATCTCTATGCAAAAGAAACACATTATGTGTGAAAGAATAAAAAAATGTTGCTGTTCTAATATTATTATTGATTAAGTATATATATTATACCTTTTTTTTTTTTAACGTTGGGAAATGCATTTACGCACGACGTGTGGGACTCACCAGCGTAATACAGCCAGTACTACCCACTAAAACCCAACAAAACCTTCCCCCGTCATAATGGGGCGTCGCAGGATCGCTTACGCATTCAACTACGACGCCCCGACGGCAGGTCTGCCGAAGCAGACCACCACAACCATGGGGTTGCTCCAAGGTCCACTCTGCTATCAGAGAAGTACCAGGAGCAACCCGCAAGGTACACCGCCCCCCGAAGAGGGCCATCTCCCACCGCCCACCGAAGTGGGCAACCTCCCTGTGCGTTTCTTAGCTTCGCTACTACTACTGAGCCCCCCCACCACGACAAGGTGAACGCACGTTGGGGAGGAATAGTTTGAGACCCTGGGAAGGACATAGAATACTTTTTATCTCGGAAATCATCCCTTAAGAAAATGGGGGTGAAAGTTTGTATGGGGAAACAAGCTAGGGACGAACCCGAGCGAAGCGAGGGTGAGTAGCTAGTATTATATAAATCATTTTACTAATGAATAAAGTTATACTTGAACTATAAAAAAATTGTTTTAACAAGTAAAATTATATAAAATTGTTTATTTTACAAATTTGTTTTTCGTTTATTCTAACTATTCCATTTCATTTTATGTTATATTTTTATATAGAACGAATTTAAATTCAGTAGAGAATACGTTATTTTAATTTTAATCAATAATAATCTAAGCTGTTAGACATACTAATAAGGAGCAATTTTTAGAATAAAAATTTATAAATAATCCTGTCATTTCAATTATATTATACATAAAGGCAGTGATAGCCCAATGGTAACGCGCTCGCTTGGGAAACCGAATGGAACGGTTTCAAATCCCGGGTCTCGCACCTCTGATATTTGCACGTGCGAATCATTTCTAGCATGATTACCATTTGCCATACGGTGAAGGAAAACATCGTGAGGAAACTGCATGTCTAAGCGAACCTAGCAAGTTTTCGAAAGGCATGTGAAGTTCGCCAACCCGCACTTGGCTAGCGGGGTGGACTATGGCCCGATCTCCCTCGTATTAAACAGAGGGCCGTGCCCAGCACTAGGGTGTTAAAAAGGGCTGAATACAATATATTTGATTATAGATTCACATTTACAGTTACAAAAACAAACATCGCTACTATTATTAGCATATAACCATTAATAAACATATCAAATCAAGATAAATACGGAGATAAATACTGTAAGCTGTATAACTTGCTTACATTAAATAAATAAATAAATAAATATGTTGGGACATTAACACACAACACCATCTAGTTCCATGGTAACCTACGAGGCTTGTGTTATGGATACCAGATAGTTGATACACTACACATAATTAAATACATATTATAAATATAAACACCTAGGACTGGAGTACAAACATTCGTGCTCATGACACAAATGAATGCCAGCGGGACTCAAACCCGCGCCTATTGGCACAGCAAGTAGGGTGCACTACAAACTGAGCCAAACGTGTCGTATAATTAAAATATGATGATCTACTTTTTTGTTACTTTCTTAAAACTAATATTTGACTAATCTTTAGTAGACTTTTGAAATTTAATACCCATTATAATAGAAAAAATAAATGAATATTTGTATTTTGTCATTTTGAAATATTAAAACTAGACTTTAGCGTATATTGAAATAGAAGTCATAGATCATCCTTTTGAGTTTTATAATGTCAACATGACAAATAAATGTTTTTAAATCTATTGCAACTATGTAAGCAATAACATTTGAAATTTAGAATTAATTTATCATTTTATGTCTATATTATATGTAAAGTTTCAATTACTATAACAACTTTAAGAAAGCTCTAGAGGCTGGTTTATAAAACGGACGGCTTATAAAGTAGGTATTGATGTCACATGGTTTAAGATGAATTAAAATTTTGATTAAAATTCAAAGATATCTATCAAAATCTTGCCAAGGACAGGATTGCGCCATAGTTAAAAAGTAGAATATATAACACACACGTCACCGTGAACTAGTATCATTTATCTAAAGGAAACTTGAAAACGACAACATGAAAGCTTTTGTGAGTATTTCTCAAATAAAATTTAAGGAAGTACATATATCTGGATATTATACATTTTATTCTTCGTATTCTTTGATTTTGCCCATCATGAGAATTTATTTTGTTCATCAAATAATATAATTTATATGTTATTTCTATGTATCAGATCGTACTGTACGCCGTGCTGGCTTGCGTATCGGCCGGCAGCGAGAAGCGCGACAAGAGAGGCCTCCTCGGCGGTCTGTACTCCGGTGACTCGTATGGCGCATTGTACGGCGGTGGCCTGTTGGGCTACGGAAGCGGCCTCGCGGGCCACGGAGGCTACTCCTTGGGCTACTCAGCGCCCACACTCCTGCATTCGTCACCCGCCCTATTAAGCTCCTCGCCCGCACTATTGCACTCATCACCCGCACTACTAAGCTCCTCGCCTGCACTATTGCACTCAGCACCCACCCTGGTCAGCTCTGAGCATGCACTCCTGCACTCAGCACCCACCCTGCTCAGTTCTTCTCCCGCCTTGATAAGTTCTGCCCCTGCCGTGATCCACTCCGCCCCCGCAGCTAAACTCGTCTCAGTCAACAAAGTGGTGAACAAGGAGCACATCGTCGACGTCCCGCAGGTGGTGAAAGTGCGCAAGGTGGTGTCCGTACCTCAAGTGGTGTCTGTCAACAAGCTGGTGGCTGCTCCCAGCTATGCCTACAGTGGCCTGGCCTCAGACTATGGATACGGGCTAGGCTACGGTTCGATCTATGGTTCCGGCCACGGTTATGGCTCTAACTACGGCTCCGGCTACTCTACTGGCTTGTGGTGAAAGTATTCGAGAAATCTAGTCAAATTAATATGATTTTAGTTATTTCTTTCCTTTATTGCCTTTATTGTTTGTACATACCTCTTTATTTATTGACAATAAAATATTTTCTTTACTACTTTTTTCATTTATTAAAAGAGTATACATTCAAATTGTGTAAATATACAGAAAATTCAGATAATACCTTCCGTAATAGTTTTAAATTTAGATCTTAGAGATACGCTGTTAGTGTCGCTATTGATAGTATTTTTCTAAAATGCCATTGATAACCGCTAAGAAAGAATTTAAATTCAATCCTAATGAAGTAAAATAAGATTGCAAAATAAGGTTTATATGGGATTTAATATTTATCGGGCGTCAAAACAAGCCCAATAAAATAAAGTAGGCTGCTAGTAATCTATATCCATACTAATCTATACATATAATAATATTGTAACTAAGCCGAATCTATACATTTTTTTTTTTTGTAAAATCTTATTGAAATAGACATTTTTATCGATACAGAGGCCGAATCTATAGTTTTTAGAATTTTTGTCTGTCTGTCTGTTACCGCATCACGGAAAAAGCACTGAACGGATTTTGATAAAATTTGGTATTATGATAGCTGATTATCCGATTCAGCATATAGGATACTTTTTACCGCGGGAAAATATCTTATTTTTGAGAAAAAAATACAAAAACTACAACGTAAGAGTATACTAATATGTAAAACCCAAGAATTTGGTACCGCGGAATATTATCTAATTCCTACGGGAAAACACGCTATAATACAACTCAAAAAAGTATTTATGATTAGAATTACTTGAAACTTGACATTAATGTTTTTCTATACAATTAAATAACTATTATTTCAACATTTTTCGAAATTCATCCCATAAGGGGGTAAAATGGGGGATGAAAGTTTGTATGAAACCTACCTTTTTAAGAGTTTTTTTGGCAGGTTTTAACGCGAGCGAAGCCAGTGTTTAGTGCTGTGTGAAGTATTAAATAATTAAGTTTACAAGTCAAAACAGCAGATATATTATACTAGCATTGCCCGCGGCTCCGCCCGCATTCAGATGACCAAAAACCAAAATCTTAGGTTTTACATAATTAGTATATATACTCTTACATTGCAGTTTTTGTATTTTTCTCAGAAATGAGACATTTTCCCGCGGTATAAAGTATCCTATATGTTGACTAATGATTGATAACCAACTATCACCATGCCAAATTTCATCAAAATGCCTCCAGTGGTTTTTTGTAATACGGTAACAGACAGACAGATAGACAGATGGACAAAAATAATAAAATCTATAGATTGGGCCTCTGTATGGATAATAATGTTTATTTCAATAAGATTTTCAAAAAAATATTTAATTTACAGATTCAGCTTAGTTACGAGTATAATTTTATAATATGTATAGATTATGAGATACTTTTTATCCTTGTGCAGCTAACCTTGCGTGCAAAGTCACGAACGGAAAAGTGTTTGGTAAAAAAATCATAACAAAAATCATAAACATACTCTTCAATTTTATAAATATTTTCATATTTATAACTAAAACTAGCATCTTTTAATCGCTTCACTAGAGTACGTTGCTAGATTCCTTTCTTAAGTTAAAACATTCAAGTATAAATGCAGTAAACGATAGTAATAATTTTAATTATAATATTTTTATAGGCTAGGAATCCAAGCGCTAATAAATAAAGATAAATCGCTAGTTTATCTACAAATACAGAAATAACGAAATCGATTTTAAAATCATTTTGACTGCGGTCTAACTCGATATGCAAAAGACAGTTAGTGACGATGAGTAAATAATGTTTAAAACTAATTCAAAATGCCTTAAGTTAACCTAATAACAGATATTAAAACTTATTCATTAATTGACATTTTATTCATTAATTTTTTCATTGCCACCATGAGGCCAGGATGATAATTTATCTTTAGGAGCCCAGAAGATGTGCGAGGGCAATATTGCAAAATCACCAGCTATATGGAGTATATAATACGTGGGATGGAGTTCATAACATCATTCACTTAACTAACATCGTAGATTAACAAACAACATATCTTCCAACATGAAAGCTTTCGTAAGTATTTGATATCTAATTACAATAACAAACTTTTTTTAATAAAACAACCTTCGATGAGCTATCTAATATTTGGATCGAGAACTGATTGAATATTATATAGATATATTAAATAAATATATTTATAGAGTAAAAAAATCTATACATATAATAAAAGTGTAACTGATAACTGTCTGAAAGATATTTGAGAAAAACTATCATTGGGGGACTTTATTTACGCAACAGAACCCAAAACAATGGTTTTTAGAATTTTTGTCTGTTTGTGTGAGCATTTGTGCGCACTAATCTCAGAAACGGCTTAATCGATTTGGATTCGGTTTTCATTAATATATAATTGTGGTAAGCTTCACTTAACATTTAGTATTTTTTTTATTTCAATCGGTTTATAAATAAAAAAGTTACGTCAATTTAAAGAATCATCTAGCGACGAGCCCGAGCGAAGCGAGTGTGAATTGCTAGTACATAATATGTATGTACAATCGCAAGTCGTCTTTCCTTTATTGTGGATAAAAACATAAAATAACTTAATTTGTATAAGTTATTACCAGAAACTCAGTTATCAGAAAAATATTAGTTGTATATTGTGTTAAGTTTATATTGTATTAAATTGTTTTTTCTTTACACAGATCGTTTACTGCGCTTTGGTAGCATGCGTAGCTGCTGGCAACTTAAAACGGGACAAGCGAGGTTTTCTGGGTGGTGGCCAATTATTAGGCGGTTATAGTGGTGGATATAGCAGTGTTGGTTACGGCGGAGGTTACAGCGGAGGTTACGGCGGAGGCTGCGGCGGAGGTTACTGCGGAGGTTACAGTAGTGGTTACAGTGGAGGTCTTGGCGGATATGGCGGAGGTTACAGTCTTGGCTACAGTGGTGGCTACGATGGTGGCTACAGTAGTGGCTACAGTGGTGGTCTTGGCGGATATGGCGGATATTCCGCATCATCGGGCAACATTGTATCCGTCAACAGAGTCGTGAATGTGCCACGTGTTGTCAATGTACCTCAAGTTGTGAATGTACGCAGAGTAGTTTCTGTGCCCCAGGTAGTGACAGTGAACAAGCTGGTGGCCGGTCCAAGCTATAGCAGCGGCCTCAGCTCTGGTATCAGCTCTCTCTATGGGTCGGGATCTGGCTACGGATATGGATCCGGCTACGGATATGGATCCGGCTACGGATACGGATCCGGCTCCTCGGGTTGGTGGTGAATGTGATATAATCCAATTTAAAGTGCATTGTGGTTACTGTTTCTTTTTTGTACATCTTGGATTAGTTTCTCTATTAATTCTGTGTTAATTATTTAATACAAATATACTTTTATTTTTTTAATATTGTTTTTATTGTAATACCCAAAAATAAATACACTTTTCATCATAACTAACAACAGAAAACACTTTAAATTTACTATTTAGATACTTTGTAAAAGGAAAAAATCTAATACTGAAATAAATTCAATGACACAAAAGATATATATATATATATATATATATATATATATATATATATATATATATATATATATTATAAACTGTACTTTATCTACTGTAAAGTGCGAAAGTTGTGAAAGAGTTTCTGACCTACTAAAATATAATATAACTAAGACAACTAGCGTTTTGAATGTCTCATATCTTTTATTTATTCGTTGCCTTCAAACTTCATGCAAATGTTGTGAGCTGTTTTTTCCCACAAGGAACATTAGATTTTTTACTCTATTATAAATACTAGTAATATAGCATCTCTATCAAAATACAAAATATTTATATTGCCTACTTCATATATACATACATACATACTTAAGTGAATAAATTTGCGGCTAACAATAACCCATGTGTTAGTTGTTACTCCAGTTTATAATAATCTACGAGTATCTATGTATGTACTACGTAATTTCGTCTAAAATATAGAAAATTTCGCATTCACAATTACAAACTTTTGCATTCGTGACACTAGTCCTACTGAAGAGAAACTGCTCGTTAGTTTAACAGGCGTGTCTTCTTCGAAATTCTTCTTCGCCTGTCTTCTGTGTTTCTTTTAATGTCTCTTCTCTTTTATCCACAAAATTAAATATTAGTTACTAGCGGCTCACTACTACTACTTTTAGACAAATAAAAACAAATCTATCCCGCGGGAACCTTACATTTTTCCGGGATAAAAAGTAGCCTATTTATTAAATATCTATCTTTTCGGATTATTTCGCGGATTTATTTTGATTTTTGGTTCCCGACGTTTTGAATGCTTTACAGCATCCATGGTCACGGGAGAGACTGAGGTGTTACATGTCTTAAAGATATAGTTGTTACAGACAGCCTACCCACAATTAACAAAATGATCACAATTGCACCAATTACATTACAATATTTTAACTTTAAACATTTTTATAATTTTAATTATAATTGAATATGGAAAATTATTTATTTAATTTTTGCTATTATTTTTATAATTATTACAATTTTAAAAATATTAATTAGTAATCTATATTTAGTGTTGCCATTATTATATTTATAACCATAAGAAAAATATAAAATATAGTATTAATTATTTAAGCCATATAATTGTTCAATGTGTAATTTAAAAAAGTTAAAATTAATTAAGGATTATAATTTTAATTTAGTTTGCTATTATTTAAAAACAACTTACTAAGCAACACTATTAATATATACTTTTGTAAAAGTGTATACTTCCAGATTGGTCCCATTTAAATTTCAAAAAAAAATATCACCCCTAAGGGTGAAAAAATAGCTAATGATGAATTTAACCTACTTCTAATTGTCATATTAACTTGAAACTTTGCAAGTGTTTCTATTTTCGTTGATAGTACAGTGGTTCGGCATTGTTGACCTGATCTGATGGTAAGGCCAGAAGGTGGATAAGTGGAACTCTTCAACGGCTAATAGTAGATACTTTGAGTTTGGGCTTATTTTGTTTGATTTGACAAGCCTAACACGTTAGAATTCTTACTTTGCTACTACTGTCTACACTAAAAAGGGAAAAATAAAAACTTTTTAACAAAAAAATAAAAACCGACTTCAAACAAAAGCACTAAAAAGTAAAAAATAAGTGATTGGTAGTTTTCATTTACTATACATACCTAATCAAATATTTTCGAAGTCGGTGTGCTTTGGCTAAGTGATTGAAGCCTACCTATTAAATACATACCTAATCAAATATTTTCGAAATCGGTGCCAGCCCATACAAAGCAAAGCACACCGACTTCGAAAATATTTGATTAGGTATGTATAGTAAATGAAAACTACCAATCAGTAATTTTTTACTGTTTAGTGCTTTTGTTTGAAGTTGGTTTTTTTTTTAATTTATCACTTGTAAGTCATTTTGAACTAATTAAATGATACCTTTTTTATTTTAAAAATTAAATTTATTAAACGAAGTAACGAGTATCAATCAAATAGCACCAGTGAACAGATAGAGTACCATAGAAGTGTATAAAATTAACCGCTATTTACAAATATGGATAATACGATATATGGATAATACTTCACAGTACAGACGTCATTTATCGTCGACTTGCTTTACCGCATTATTACGCTTAAAGTGCATGCACGGGTAAGTAGAATTTTTCACATGGGCATCACTATAAGACCGTAGAAAGCAAATATACTCATATGTGTAGAACTAAATTTTAGTACAAAAAAGCTAAAATGGATCAAATTCCCATTGATATTACGACGAAACATAAAACGCCTACGCAGAAAATATTATTTTCCGTTGCATTGGTGAAACTGTTATTGGTTTTGGCGCAGGCATTCCTGATTAAATTAGTTATAAATTTCTATTAATATTTAATTTTATTATTGAAATATTGATATTAATTTAAAGATCTAAATCTATACTCATATTATAAAGGGGAAAGATTTTTTTGTTTGCTTATTTGTACCGAATACGATTCGGAACTAGTGAACCGATTTAGATGAAATTTAGTAAGAAGATAGTTTGAGATCTTGGAAAGGACATAAGATAATTTTTATCCAGTAAACCATCCCTTAAGGGGTTGAAAATGGGGATGAAAGTTTGTATGGGGAGGCAACCTAGGAACGAACCCAAGCGAAGCGAGAGTGATTCGCTAGTGTAAATATAATTATACAAAATGAGCTTTCACAACAAAAATAACTAGGCGCTGTGTTTGCAAAATACGAAATTGACTTTTGATATATATCGTTACCTCAAGCTTCGAGTTATGCCTCCAGCCGGGGCCCTCCGCACTTGTAAATCCGACCCTCTATTTCGTCACTGAAATACTGATATTGACAGAATGCTAGAAAATTACTTATTAGGGGCTCAAAAAGGCCGTAAAAAATTGTATATGGTTATAAATAATAAATCCAAATCCTTATTATAATCAAACTACTGGTAGTAGAACCCGCGGCTTCGCCCAAATCGCGGTTCAATCTACAAAAAAACTATTTGATTTTATGTTATACAGCTATGTATTAACTGCCTCGGTGGTCCAGTGGCTAGCATGTACGGTCACAGATCCGAAGGCCCTGGGTTCGAGTCCCGGGGTCGGGCCAAGTGTAGTTATTGAGTATTTCTCTGCCCGATTTGTTAACATTTATGATTACTGCTCCGCTCCCTTGGGTAGTAACATGACGATATAAAGGCTTATAGCCTTCCTGGATAAACGGACTATCTAACACAAAAATATTTTTCAAATCGGATTAGTAGTTCCTGAGATTAGCGCTTTCAAACAGACAAACAAACAAACAAAAAACAAACAAACAAACAAAAAACAAACAAACAAACAAACTCTATCTTTTTATAATATTAGTAAAGAATTTTATAATATAGATAAAATATCCATTAGCAGAACCCAAAATTGTGACAATTTCTATCACTTTTTTGAGTTTATAAATACTCAGACGCAGGTAGAAACCGTTCTTCATTTATCCTTTTTATCTACGGAAATCATTTTCCTTCGTGCAAAAATTCTAGAGATTGGCACATACAAATGGATAAAAAGTTAATTATTATTACAATAATTAAATAGATATTTTTTTATCAAATTTTAATATTGTGCCTTTCTACGAATAAAATCTATTTTGAATCACAAACAGACAATTTCATTTTCTTTATAAGTATAGAAACGTAGTAATAAGATACTAGTTCAATAATATACTATGCTGCCTTCTTATGACTCACTGTAACTGTAGCAATACTAGAATGTACATTTTGTATTAAGTAAAAGCAATATCTTTGGCGCAAATTAAGTAACTTTAAAGGTTATTGTTTTATTAAATATTTATTAATTAATAATAAATTTAGCAATTTTACATCTAATTTAATATTAAAAAAATATATAGGATGCGCCGCAAAATTTAATAAAGATGACTAAAAAATATTGCTGAAACTTATCGCTAATTAAAACATAATTATGCTAAATATTTTATTTCAATTTTATATGAATAAATTTATTTTCATTGCCACTATGAGGCCAGGATGCTTATTTACGTTAGGAGCGCGGAAGATCTACGAGGACAATCTTGCGCCACCGGTCAGATGCAGTATATAATACGCGGGGTGCAGTGCATAGCATCATTCACTTCACCGATACTCCAGATACCACAGATTCACAAACACCTAATCTTCCAACATGAAAGCCTTCGTAAGTATTCTTTAAAATGTTGTTTTTGTTAACCGCCATTAACTTTAATACATAGAGTGTATTTATGTCGTTGACTGACCTATCTAATATAATAATTTGAATCAATGTTTAAAAGAGCAAGATTTAAGGAGATAAAATGGGAAAAACTAACAAAACAATAAATGTATGTACAATCTATGTCATCTTTTATTTGTAGTGTATTAAAAAAATATATGGTAACAATAATTGTTCGTTAGCAACGGATGAGGTCATCAAAAATATATTAGCTTTCAAATGTTTAGGCTATGCTAATTATGTTTTCTCTTGTTCTCACAGATCGTTTATTGCGCTTTGGTAGCCTGTGTAGCTGCTAGCGATTTGAAACGAGACAAGCGTGGCTATCTGAGTGGTGGTCACTCACTTGGTGGTTACAGCGGTGGATACAGCAGTGGTGGTTACAGCGGTGGTGGTTACAGCAGTGGTGGTTACAGCAGTGGTGGTTACAGTAGTGGTGGTCTTGGCGGATATGGCGGATATGGCGGATACTCTTCAGGTAAAATTGTCTCCGTCAATAAAGTCGTGAATGTCCAACGTGTAGTCGAAGAACCTCAGATTGTGAGTGTGCGCAAAGTAGTTTCGGTGCCTCAAGTTGTGACAGTGAAAAAGCTGGTGGCCGGTCCAAGCTACAGCAGTGGCATCAGCTCTGGCTATGGGTCGGGCTCTGGCCACGGATGGAGTTCCGGCTCCGGCTCCTCCGGTTGGTGGTGAATGTGATAGCATCTAGTTCAAAGCGAATTGTGATTACTGTGTCTTCTTTATACTTCTTGTATTAACTATTTACTATAATGTTCTATATTTATTAATATTCAAAAATATATTTTATTTTTCTAAATATTGCTTTTTTGTTATACCTTATTAAAATACACGTTTTAGCTATAATTCTATAAAAGTTATCAAATGTTTATTTACAAAAACAGTGACTACTATATAACCTCATACGAAATATTTCACTATTAAAATGTATTATATTAACTTTATAATATTTGTTTACAATCAGAATATAAAAAAGAATCTAGAATTAAATATCATTTTTAAAGAGTAGACCATAATGTTCCAAACGGAATATACAACTTCCAACGCGTTGATGTTTTTTGTACAGCAGGCGCCAAACATAGACGTGATCACAATATGATAAAAGATGTGAAATTTCTGTTTCATTTTTTTGTTTTAAATAAATATATCCATCTATACTAATATTATAAAGAGGTAAAGTTTGTGAGTTTATGACGTTGTAGGGGGTAATCTCTGGTCCTACTGAACCGATTTAGATGAAATGTGGTAAGAAGACTCAGGGAAGGACATAGGATACTTTTTAGCCCGGAAATCATCCCTTAAAGGGGTGAAAATGGGGATGAAAGTTTGTATTGGGAAGCAAGCCAGGGACGAACCCGTGCGAAGCGAGGGTGAGTCGCTAATTATTTATAAATAGAACAAACACTAACCAATATTTTATTATAAACATTATTTATTTAATATTTCAAATCAGTTTAAAATACGAAAAATAAGAAATAGTTTAGTACGTTTATAATTTGACCTGTAATTCGCTTTTTCATGATTTTCCTATTTTTTTAATATTTTCCTAGTGTTTTATTGTAAATATGTCCCAAAATATTTTTCATTTTAATATATAATGTGGTAGCAGTGTATTGAGTGTGAAGTGAAAAAATATAAGTTCGGAATAAATTGAAAATTGAGAAAAAAAAGGATCCCGACGAATGGATAACTTCCTCCTTTTTCGAAGTCGGTTAAACACGAAGAAATGGAAAGCAAAATAAATTGAGCTACTAATCTGCAAACGACGAATAGCCTAAGCTGCTAGGTCTGTTAACATGAAAATTTCCACAAGTGTTCTTTTCTTTACATAAAGTAGGTCGAGCTTTGAAATAGATTCTCATAGTTGTAAAAATTAGAGTAAAATTTAGTTTCTTTTTTTTAAGTTAAAATATTGAAAGACACTAGTTATCCGTAATCTATTCTTTTAGAATGTAGCATCTAACACCAACTTACGATTGATGTAATTTTGAGCTTTGTGAGACATTGTATCGGTGGCTCCGCTCGAAATGTCTTAACGTTCTTCAGTTTATAAACATACTAACGGCTCACCCTCGCTTCGCCCGGGTGCGCCTCTAGGAAAACAAAAATATACCTATACCACGGGAACCGTACATTTTTCGGGGAAAAAAAGTCTTATTCCAGACTATAATCTATCTCTGTGCCAAATTTCATCCAAATCCGTTCAGCCGTTCTGGCGTAAAAGAGTAACAAATATCCATACATACTCACAAACTTCCACATTTATAATATTAATACGGATATTTTACTTAACAGTAATAGTTCGAATTACTTTATCGTTTGTGGAAACTTCGATTTATATATTTAAAGAATATACATTATACAAATATACGGACTGAGCAGCAAGCTTACTTTATCAGTTGAAGCTATTTTTATGACTTACCATTAATCAGCTTACTGAAAACATAAATATAAATATTCGTCTATTAATATATTAAATTTCCTTACAAATTAAAACAAATTTTAAAGATTTTGACTACTTTGATAATATATAAAATTATATTTTTGTCATCAGTCTTTATTTATTCCTTACCAAAAAAAATAACAGCATTTCATACAAACTACCTATTTGTTATACTTTTCTTTACTTATGAATTATTAATTAACTATTCTCGTAAGTATAACCTTATTCTTTATTTATACGATATAATTTTGTAATTTATAAATATATGTTGTATTTAATTCCATAAAAAAATATAGCTCAAAATAAAACTAAATAATATAAATACAAGTTATACATTAATAAAATTATAATAATTTAAATTTAATCATTGAGCAATATTAAACACAGAATAGCATCTTAATCCTTAAAACTACAAGGTAAATATTGCACCACGTGGTTTCGTCTTATAATATGAACCGATTTCACACCTATACGCAGTACGAGTAATACGAGAGTACTTTCCACACATGGTCAGTGGTCACACGCAACGGTCGCCAAGGCTGAGAAACTGTTTTGTAAACAAAAAATTATAACAATTGCTTGTAATTATTGTAATAGCTTAGAACAAATGTTGTGAATGATACTACTAAATCATGTACCTACTAATATGTATATGTTCTTATATATTCAGTAAAAAAAGAAACATTTATTAACAAATGAACATAAGAAAGTAAAAAATTCCTTAAAAAAACGAAATTAATCTTTCCCAACCCAAAAATCCCTACATATTAGAAACGGTGAGATAATTTTCTAGTAAGACACTTCTAGCTTTTCTCGCTTCTGAACACAGTTTCGAAATTTTGAATTCAAACCAAAATATATAATATATTACTCGCGCGTGCCTTATAAAAGAAGAAATTAAAACGTCCTAATATTAACATCCCAAAGGAAGTTTTAGATCATAGTATATCTGAACTGCATATCATCCTTTACCCAGCCGTTTCAGTATGACGTAACAAACATACAGATGTAAACACATACAAAATTTCGCATTAATAATAATAGTCCGATTCACTTTATTGTATCTTGTCCCAAATCTAAATTGTAAAAAATTAACTATGAACAAATTACATCGAAACGAAGGTTGCAAATACATGATGTGGGTGGTAATAAAATAAATCACTTCATAATATATTAGTGTTCAAAGATTAATGGCAACAAGCCTTAGAACAAGTACATAATTCTAATACATTAATCTTTTCCATTTTGACGACACGTTTGGCTCACTTTATGATGATGTTCTCCTAGCCAATTCCGGCCACGGCGGCCAATCTCATTGAGACTAACCAACTGCGCAGGAGATATTATAGTGCACAAGTGTACACGCAGACACAAGTGCACTCTCTATTCCTGTCACTCTCATACTCCGGTGGGACGACTGCTCGACACGACTAGTGAGAGTTAAGGCTCAGTTTGTAGTGACAGTTTGTACAATGTACAATATATGGCAAAGGAATCACTAACAATTAACATACAAAAGAATGTACATTCATGCTATTTTTTTTAAATAAATCCAATTCAAGTCTCTATCTCCAATCCAAGCTAATATCTTAATATATATAATTCTTCTGTACGTGTGTTTGTTAACCTACTCCTCCTAAAGGACTGGACCAATTTGGATGAAATTTTGTGTGTATATTTCAATGGGCTCCTGGATGGTTTGAAAACACAATTGGACCCGGTAGATGGCGTTGCAGTCGGTGTGCCACTGATCATCTCCTAAACGGTAGGGACGATTTTAATGATATCTTTTGTGTATGTTTGAGTGGGTCCCTGCAAGTTTTGAATTCACAAATGGATCCGGTAGATGGCGCTGCAGTCGGTGTGTCACTAAATTTTCATAAAAGACTCCATTTTTCAAGAAATGAATAAATTAAAATTGTTGATTAAATAAAATAAAAATTGATGTGTGTATGTATGTTTCCTATGGACTCCAAAACAGCTGGAGCAATTTAGATGAAATTTTCAGGTAATCTTCAGATTAGCCTAGCGGGTGATCCTGTAAATTTTGTTAGCAATCGGAAGTTTGGATGCAGTTGAAGTCGCGGGTACTGCTAGTATAATTATATATAAATTTAAAAAAAACAACGTCTTATGTGGAATAGGTAATTTTTATGAAATGTAGTTTTTGCATAACTGTAATTTATATACGGCATAGTTGTATAAGCTCATAAAAGAAATATAATGTATGAAGCAGATAAGCCGCGATATATTGAAATGCAGTTACAAAAAGAAGCTATAAACGGGACTAAAATCCCGCTGCAAGATTGCTACGTTCATAGCGTATTTAATAAAAATCATTTTTATATATAATAATAAAAGGAGCAATATTTGCATCGATTTTGAAGTCAATTATTATTTATTTCATTAAACATACTAGCGGGCAGATTTGAATAGGCACCCCGGTCAAAACATATTGTCCCTTTTATTATTGTATATAAAAAATTGATTTTGATTAAATACGCTATGAACGTAGCAATCTTGCAGCCGGATCTTGATCCAAAAAGGCGTTACATATAGATGATTACAATTAACAATAGGTAAAAGAAAGTTTAAAAATTAGTAAAAATTTTATTTAATAATAGACTGCGATTATATTTTTTAGATATTTTCGTTTGTATTATATTTTAAATTTAAAACACAAATTAACTTTAATTATGCTGTCATTTTCTTTATAAGGCAAAGTGAAGTACCTATATAGATTACTGATTACTGGTGTGGAATCGTTTACACAACCGGACGTTAGTGATTGATGGTTTAGATCATAATTTCGTATTAATCGAAATAATGAATAATGATAAAACTGCCTAAAATTTTTAACATTATCATATATAGGTACTAATATTATAAAGAGATAAAGTTTGTAAGTTTGTGACGTTGTTGGGGATTGAGATAAAATTTGGTAAGAAGATAGTTTGAGACCCTGGGAAGGACATAGGATACTTTTTATCCCGGAAATCATCCCTTAAGAAAATAGGGATGAAAGTTTGTATGGGGAAACAAGCTAGGGACGAACCCGAGCGAAGCAAGGGTGAGTCGCTAGTTATATATAAAAGTAAGCACATCGTATTGATAAGAATAAATTATGAAAAATAAAAGTACTAAAAATGTGTGTAAAATCTAAAATTCTAACTATTTTTTTGTCTGTATCATCAAAAATCAGACAATATTGATAATAACTATAATAATT